AGCCGGTGTATTGGTGCGTTTACACACACGAAGGCCTTGAGACAGCTGTGAAGAAGGTAGTGACTCTGGCTCCGCCCCAGCGTGCCTGACTATACAGTATACACCTGGGACACCCAAGGTTGCCTTTGGTTGTGAGTATACGGGTCGCGACTCCTCGAGCCCGTTGGCGTATAGTAGTTTGCAGCTAACACAGAGGGGGGGGTTGGCACCTTCGAGGTTTTCCCTCCTCAATTCCAACGTTGTTCAGTGGGAAGCACGTGTGTTCCTAGCGTCGTCTTCCTGCTCACTAAGCTCTTCCTCCTACCAACACTCGCCTGCGCATCGTGCCACCGTTGTGTCTGGGTTGCACGAGCCGCAAGTGAGTGTCGCGTCCGTGACCGCGTTAATCCAAGAGCTTCTTGGGCGCCATCTACAGGCTGAACCCGAAGGCCGTCGCGTAGACGGCCGTGTTGTGTGCCGGTGAGCCCCATAAAGTGGTCCTGAACGTGGAATCCGACGCCGATAAACTGCATGTTGTCTGCTCGACGACAAACAGCCACGGCTGCATGACGACGCTGGGCGTGATGCTCCTGTCCTAGCGACCGTAGCCGGTGTATTGGTGCGTTTACACACACGAAGGCCTTGAGACAGCTGTGAAGAAGGTAGTGACTCTGGCTCCGCCCCAGCGTGCCTGACTATACAGTATACACCTGGGACACCCAAGGTTGCCTTTGGTTGTGAGTATACGGGTCGCGACTCCTTGAGCCCGTTGGCGTATAGTAGTTTGCAGCTAACACAGAGGGGGGGTTGGCACCTTCGAGGTTTTCCCTCCTCAATTCCAACGTTGTTCAGTGGGAAGCACGTGTGTTCCTAGCGTCGTCTTCCTGCTCACTAAGCTCTTCCTCCTACCAACACTCGCCTGCGCATCGTGCCACCGTTGTGTCTGGGTTGCACGAGCCGCAAGTGAGTGTCGCGTCCGTGACCGCGTTAATCCAAGAGCTTCTTGGGCGCCATCTACAGGCTGAACCCGAAGGCCGTCGCGTAGACGGCCGTGTTGTGTGCCGGTGAGCCCCATAAAGTGGTCCTGAACGTGGAATCCGACGCCGATAAACTGCATGTTGTCTGCTCGACGACAAACAGCCACGGCTGCATGACGACGCTGGGCGTGATGCTCCTGTCCTAGCGACCGTAGCCGGTGTATTGGTGCGTTTACACACACGAAGGCCTTGAGACAGCTGTGAAGAAGGTAGTGACTCTGGCTCCGCCCCAGCGTGCCTGACTATACAGTATACACCTGGGACACCCAAGGTTGCCTTTGGTTGTGAGTATACGGGTCGCGACTCCTCGAGCCCGTTGGCGTATAGTAGTTTGCAGCTAACACAGAGGGGGGGGTTGGCACCTTCGAGGTTTTCCCTCCTCAATTCCAACGTTGTTCAGTGGGAAGCACGTGTGTTCCTAGCGTCGTCTTCCTGCTCACTAAGCTCTTCCTCCTACCAACACTCGCCTGCGCATCGTGCCACCGTTGTGTCTGGGTTGCACGAGCCGCAAGTGAGTGTCGCGTCCGTGACCGCGTTAATCCAAGAGCTTCTTGGGCGCCATCTACAGGCTGAACCCGAAGGCCGTCGCGTAGACGGCCGTGTTGTGTGCCGGTGAGCCCCATAAAGTGGTCCTGAACGTGGAATCCGACGCCGATAAACTGCATGTTGTCTGCTCGACGACAAACAGCCACGGCTGCATGACGACGCTGGGCGTGATGCTCCTGTCCTAGCGACCGTAGCCGGTGTATTGGTGCGTTTACACACACGAAGGCCTTGAGACAGCTGTGAAGAAGGTAGTGACTCTGGCTCCGCCCCAGCGTGCCTGACTATACAGTATACACCTGGGACACCCAAGGTTGCCTTTGGTTGTGAGTATACGGGTCGCGACTCGTCGAGCCCGTTGGCGTATAGTAGTTTGCAGCTAACACAGAGGGGGGTTGGCACCTTCGAGGTTTTCCCTCCTCAATTCCAACGTTGTTCAGTGGGAAGCACGTGTGTTCCTAGCGTCGTCTTCCTGCTCACTAAGCTCTTCCTCCTACCAACACTCGCCTGCGCATCGTGCCACCGTTGTGTCTGGGTTGCACGAGCCGCAAGTGAGTGTCGCGTCCGTGACCGCGTTAATCCAAGAGCTTCTTGGGCGCCATCTACAGGCTGAACCCGAAGGCCGTCGCGTAGACGGCCGTGTTGTGTGCCGGTGAGCCCCATAAAGTGGTCCTGAACGTGGAATCCGACGCCGATAAACTGCATGTTGTCTGCTCGACGACAAACAGCCACGGCTGCATGACGACGCTGGGCGTGATGCTCCTGTCCTAGCGACCGTAGCCGGTGTATTGGTGCGTTTACACACACGAAGGCCTTGAGACAGCTGTGAAGAAGGTAGTGACTCTGGCTCCGCCCCAGCGTGCCTGACTATACAGTATACACCTGGGACACCCAAGGTTGCCTTTGGTTGTGAGTATACGGGTCGCGACTCCTCGAGCCCGTTGGCGTATAGTAGTTTGCAGCTAACACAGAGGGGGGTTGGCACCTTCGAGGTTTTCCCTCCTCAATTCCAACGTTGTTCAGTGGGAAGCACGTGTGTTCCTAGCGTCGTCTTCCTGCTCACTAAGCTCTTCCTCCTACCAACACTCGCCTGCGCATCGTGCCACCGTTGTGTCTGGGTTGCACGAGCCGCAAGTGAGTGTCGCGTCCGTGACCGCGTTAATCCAAGAGCTTCTTGGGCGCCATCTACAGGCTGAACCCGAAGGCCGTCGCGTAGACGGCCGTGTTGTGTGCCGGTGAGCCCCATAAAGTGGTCCTGAACGTGGAATCCGACGCCGATAAACTGCATGTTGTCTGCTCGACGACAAACAGCCACGGCTGCATGACGACGCTGGGCGTGATGCTCCTGTCCTAGCGACCGTAGCCGGTGTATTGGTGCGTTTACACACACGAAGGCCTTGAGACAGCTGTGAAGAAGGTAGTGACTCTGGCTCCGCCCCAGCGTGCCTGACTATACAGTATACACCTGGGACACCCAAGGTTGCCTTTGGTTGTGAGTATACGGGTCGCGACTCCTCGAGCCCGTTGGCGTATAGTAGTTTGCAGCTAACACAGAGGGGGGTTGGCACCTTCGAGGTTTTCCCTCCTCAATTCCAACGTTGTTCAGTGGGAAGCACGTGTGTTCCTAGCGTCGTCTTCCTGCTCACTAAGCTCTTCCTCCTACCAACACTCGCCTGCGCATCGTGCCACCGTTGTGTCTGGGTTGCACGAGCCGCAAGTGAGTGTCGCGTCCGTGACCGCGTTAATCCAAGAGCTTCTTGGGCGCCATCTACAGGCTGAACCCGAAGGCCGTCGCGTAGACGGCCGTGTTGTGTGCCGGTGAGCCCCATAAAGTGGTCCTGAACGTGGAATCCGACGCCGATAAACTGCATGTTGTCTGCTCGACGACAAACAGCCACGGCTGCATGACGACGCTGGGCGTGATGCTCCTGTCCTAGCGACCGTAGCCGGTGTATTGGTGCGTTTACACACACGAAGGCCTTGAGACAGCTGTGAAGAAGGTAGTGACTCTGGCTCCGCCCCAGCGTGCCTGACTATACAGTATACACCTGGGACACCCAAGGTTGCCTTTGGTTGTGAGTATACGGGTCGCGACTCCTCGAGCCCGTTGGCGTATAGTAGTTTGCAGCTAACACAGAGGGGGGGGTTGGCACCTTCGAGGTTTTCCCTCCTCAATTCCAACGTTGTTCAGTGGGAAGCACGTGTGTTCCTAGCGTCGTCTTCCTGCTCACTAAGCTCTTCCTCCTACCAACACTCGCCTGCGCATCGTGCCACCGTTGTGTCTGGGTTGCACGAGCCGCAAGTGAGTGTCGCGTCCGTGACCGCGTTAATCCAAGAGCTTCTTGGGCGCCATCTACAGGCTGAACCCGAAGGCCGTCGCGTAGACGGCCGTGTTGTGTGCCGGTGAGCCCCATAAAGTGGTCCTGAACGTGGAATCCGACGCCGATAAACTGCATGTTGTCTGCTCGACGACAAACAGCCACGGCTGCATGACGACGCTGGGCGTGATGCTCCTGTCCTAGCGACCGTAGCCGGTGTATTGGTGCGTTTACACACACGAAGGCCTTGAGACAGCTGCAACCAGGTTCACCATGGACGAGGCCATCTTGGCGCGTGCACGAGTGCTGCCATCTCTCTCCTCTTCAGCTTCCGTGGTGGGATACTTTGCCTGTGCCGGCCTGCCGAGTAGGCAAAGTAAAATCGTACTTAATGCATCAAAAATTTTAATACATATTAATATATTAATATTTGTATGAGCCCTAAATCATGTAATATATTTGTTATAATATATTATAGTCCGATGCTGAATATTACTATAATATAATAGACCAAAATCTGCGTTAATACGAACCCCTGCTTCTACCAAAGCTTTAGCCATTCGCGAACGTGGTAGCATACATAAGCAGCCCGAAATGAGCGACCCGTTCTACCTGGCCGACATCCTGCTGGGGCGCGTGGGCGTGCTGCGCTCCACGGCCGAGAGCATCATCCTGGAGCTGTGCGAGGCGCAGGCCAAGCTCGAGCCCGGCCAGGCCGCGGACGACGCGCTGCGCCTCGCCATCAAGAACAAACTGGAGCGCGTGCAGACGAACCTCAAGCTGCTGCGCAAGCTCGTGCCCGAGTTCGGTGCGTGGGTCGCCCTTGAGCTCAATAGTAGTGCATTCTACCGCGTTCTCCTTTACTGACATGTCCCCTTGTGCGTCCTCCCTCCCTGCTCCCACCGCGCGCGCAGACGGCAAGACGAAGCCCATCGAGAGCGTGAACCAGACGCACCGCAACCTCATGCTCGAGTACCACTGGAAGAACCAGGTGCAGGACATGGGCGCCAAGGCGCAGGCCGTGTACCTGGAGCAGCTGGGCGGCGCCTTCCCGCGGCTCGAGATGCTGGGCGACGTGCGCTGCCCGCCCACGCCCAGCAGCCTCTTCGTGCCCAAGTCGCACAAGCGCAGCCGGGTCTTCGACCCGTACGGAGAGAAGCAACCCGCCACGCTCAACGAGATGATGGACTACATGATGGCCAAGAACCGCAAGCTCAAGTTCTTCAAGCATGCCGAGACCACGCGCGGCGGCCGCCGAGTCATCAAGTCCATCAAGTGCGAGATCAACAAGGAGGTGACGGTGCATCTGAGCTTCTGCCCGCCCATCCCGGAGAGCGGCCCCAGCGGCGAGTCGGGCGTGGCCGCGAGTCCCATGACGCCGTCCACGCCCACGTCTCCGGCCTTTGCCAGCGGCCGCCTGCGCAGCACGCGCAACAAGCACAAGAAGCAGCAGCAGCAGCTCGTGAAGAAGAAGAAGGGCGACATGCTCACCAAGGCCAAGCTCGCCGCCGAGGAGGCCACCAAGATGGAGATGGAGGAGCTCAAGACGCGCATCGCGGAGGCGCGTGAGGCCATCAAGGAGCAGGAGCAAGCGCGAGCTGCTGGACTGCAGGTCACCAAGTACATTCAACGACTGTCCATCTTCCCGTACAACGAGGACGCTCCTCTCGGCGCGTGGTCCGAGTCCTCGCACAACCTTTTCCGTCTGGTCACGCTGCACGGGCGTAAGGCGCTGGATCACTTCCGCAAGCAGCACCCGGAAACTTGCTTCTACCACCTCTTCACGTGGCTCGGCTACTACGACAAGATTTACCAGACGCCGTGCTCGTTCTGCAAGAAGCTGCTCGCCAAGGAGAGCGAGGAGTGGGCCTACGTGCCTCCGTCCTTCCGTGACTACGCGAACGGCCAGGCCTTCCACTCCAAGTGTCTACCCATCGAGTAATGAAATGGAGCTAGATATTAAGCAGCGACGCGAGGCTCCAGCCACTCAATAAGTCGAATGCACCGGAAGGAGGGAGCTCGTAGTTGTTTTTGATGTTTTCTTCTAGGTAAGCAGCTACTCGAGTCGGATCGGCAGCAAGCGGCCAAAAGCAGGCGGCTTGGCTCCGTTCGGCGGGGCTTGCAGTCTGATCTTGCTCGAGGCCAAATCGCGTGGGGTAACAGTAGCCGCTGAAAGTGGTGGCTGGGTCCTCGTGAGCTGCTTCTTGTTCGCCAGTCCCATGGCGTCGTAGGCTTCCGCGACGAAAGCTGCAATCACCATAAGACGATTCCTTTGTGAGAACCAACACATCTCTAAGGTGGCTACCCTATCTAGATAGCCTGGGCACGCACCGGCACTGGGGAACGCAGGCACCGCATCAGCTCCGGCCTTGCGCATTTCTTCCGGGTTGATGAGCGCCGAGACTGTGTGGCGCAGCGAGATGCGGCTCGCGCGGCCCAAATTCTCGGCGATGAAGGCGTTGGCAGCCTCCTGCATCTCCTTGGAACGCTGCGAGCCGGCATAGTATCAATTAGAACCCCTCAGCAGATACGCTACATGCACTGCCCTTCGTACCTCTAGCTTGAGTGTCAAGACGGAGATCTCCGTGGCCTCGGACGTCAGCAGACGAGCGCTGTAGGGCCGACACTGCACCTTGTCCAGCGTCTCCTCGACGATGAACTTGCGGCCCAAGCGGTCCACGTAGATCCACCCGCAGTGGTCGAAGCGCGGGCGCAGCTGGAGGCGAGTGACCCACGTGTGCAGCGCCGCCAGCGGCTGCATGGCCGTGAGCTTGCGCTGGAAGAAGACGAGGTCGCCCGTCTCGAGCGTCTCCATGATGGTGTCGTCCATGGACCCGGGGATGAACTCGAGCGCCTCGCCGCCAGGAGGCGCGCGCACCTGGTAGCTCATGCGCGTGAGCGTCGCGTTGGCGCTCCAGGCGCCCAATCCGGCCAGCGGCAGCAGCGCCAGCACTCGGGCTGCCATGATGCTTGGCGGGGCAAATGTGAGCCGATCGGTGTGCACGCACGTCTATGGACCTGCTCGCTGGTTTGATGGGATTTGCAACACTTTCAACTGCGAGTTGGCTGATGTGCCTGTGCATGTTGTTGTTGCCCTTCACTAACGAAAATCGATTCATCATAGGTATTCACACATAAGGTAGATTCACTGGCGGCTGGGTCATAGTTGGCTCCCTCTCTGCTGCTCCTCCTCACCCTCCAGTCTCTCCGCTAGGCGCTGCCCCCGTTGCCGGCGAGCGCAGCGATCTCTTGCTTGAGCCGCTGCTTCTCGTGGCGGAAGAACGCGATGTCGCGCAGCACGTCCTGGTCCAGCGCGGGGCAGACCCCTCCGGTTCGTGCCGCCAGCGCGGCCGACGCCACGCCGTTCCACGCGAGCTGCTGCGCCAGCTGCGAGATCGTCGTGACGACACCGCGCAGCTCGGCCAGCAGCTTCAGACGGCGATCTTCCTGCAGCGTCTGCATCCGCAGGCGCACGTACGCATTCGCCACCTCGCGGTCGCACTCCACGCGCGGGAGTTCAACGTCCTCGTCCATATCGTCAAAAGTGATGACCATGCTGTCGGCTCCGCGCCCTGCAGCCGCCACATTGGACGGGTGAACCGGGACGCCGTTGGCAGCAGCTCGGGCGTTGTTGTGCCAGCTCGGCGACGGCTGCGCACGCACCTGGCGGCTGGTGATGGCGCCCACCTTGGCCAACTGGATCCGCCCTGCAGGCGTGTCGCACAGCATCAGCTCCTCGTCCTCGTGCGAGTCGGCCGTGTCCGAGTCGTCGCTGGACGTGGACGAGCTGTACTCGTCCGCGTCCGAGCCGGCCTCGGTGCGCCGGCGCTTGCGGGGCCCACGCTCGCTGCTGAGCTTGCTCTGCTGCAGCAGCGCCGCGATGAACTGCGGGTTGGAGCTCAAGATGTCGTAGCAGTGGCGGAAGTGGAACGACTCGAACTTGAGCTTCGGGCGCGCCGAGTCCGTCTCCGAGTCGCCGCTGGGCGTCGGCGGCCGCTGGCGCTCCTGCACAAACAGGCGCACGGCCGCCGCGTTGGTCTCGCTGCGCTCCTCGCGGAAGAGTTTGGTGGCCTGCTTGACGGCCTTGGCGGGCTTCTTGCCGGCGCGTTGCAACTGTCCACACCACAAAAGTGCGACACAAACTTCTGTCAATCAAGTGACTCGACCCTAAGTATTATCAACATTGCTGGCAGACCTCGTCCACGAGCGACACGAAGAGCACCATGTCCGGCCGGATCCCGCGCGACCAGCGCGTGTGCAGCGAGCGCGCGCTGCGCGGCGCCGCCGTGACGTCGGGCACGACGGCCTGCTCGGCCGTCACGAGCCCCTGGTAGCGCTGCTGCACGCGCTTCCAGAGCGCGCAGTTGTCGCTCTGCACCACGACGTCCCCCTGGTTGGCGAACACGGCCAGCAGCGCGCGGCCCAGCCGCCGGTCGTCCGCGTGTGTCCAGCGCTCCTTGCCCCTCCGCATCTTGATGTCGACTTCTCTCTTGTCTTTGAAGAAGAAAACTAAATTCTGCCGACGCACTTGCTTGGGAAAATAGAAGGCCTATGTACAGAACCCTCAAACCCAAACATCCCACACAAAAATGTTCAGCACTTTTGGATGGAGAATCCACCCAATCAAAGTGCGTAAACGGAAAAGCTGGGCGAGAGGTACACGCTTGAACTCGCTCCAAAGCAGGGATTCACTTCGTACACACGATACAACTGACGTCGCTCCCGGGGAACTCCCCACGTGTCGTAATACAACATGGCACGTATTGCTGCAACTTGATCCAAGATTCTTTGTACAGGAAAAAAAAACTTACTTGACTTATATGCTTCGTAATGATGGATCGGTCGACCTAATACTTCGTTCGTTCGTTCGTTCAAGCACCCACACTCACCTCAGTACATGTACGCTTAGCCCTTACGCTCCGCCGCATCGAGCAGGTCGAGCTCCTGCTTGAGACGACGTTTCTGGTCGCGGAAGAAGGTCAAGTCCTGTTGCACCTCCTCCGCCAGCGCCGGGTCCACTCGGCTTCCTGCGGCCATACCCATGGGCGACGCTGCGCCGTTGCCGGTGAGCTGGTTGCTGAGCTGCGAGATGGTCTCCACAATTCCACGCAGCTCGGCTAGCAGCTTCAACCGGTAGTTGGCCTTTTGCTGTGTGCGGGGGTTCTTGATCACCTGCGCACTGTTCACAACGCTACCGTTCTGAGCACCAACGCGAGCAACGTGGTTCTTTTGTGCGGCAGGCGGTTGGCCAGTCTGGGACACGGTGAAACCCTTGGGGACGGGAACACCTTCGTCGCTGGACTCGTCGCTCGGTGAGCTCGACGACGACGACCCAGACGCCGAGGCGGAAGCACCCGAAGATGCTTCACTGCCCTTGCGCCGCTTTGGGGACGCCTCGCCATTGTGAGGCGAGACTCTCTCGTGCAGATCACCACTGGCATCGGAGGACTCGGACGCTTCCTCAGGGTCACTGCCGCCAGGTTTGGATTGGCGACGTCGCCGCTTCTGCATGGGGGAGCGCACCACTCGAGGCTTCTTCTCCGACATGACCGCGCGCATGAAGCGCTTGCTCGTGCGCAGCACCGGGATGCAGTGAGGGTAGCGGAACGTCGTGGCCTTGGTCCGCGGCTTGGGAGGGGGCTCCAGGCTCTCGAGGAGCGCCTGCTGCTTGGCCTCCCTGTACGCGCGCAAGGCTTCGGCCTCCTCCGCCTGGCGGATGGACTCGAAGCGGTTGTTGGCCTCCACCATGACTTCTTTCTCGCTCCAGCCCTCGTGCTCCTCCTTCTCCACCTGCGGATTTACGTAAAACAAAGCTTGTCAGTTTGAAATCTTAGTGCAAAACGTTGCAACACCACCCACAAGATACGCACCTTCACTAGCAGCGACATGAAGAAGGCCGCCTCGGGGCGGATGAACGACGACCAGTGCGTCTGCAGCGCGCCTCCAGCGCGAGGAGCGGCCGTCGGGTCTTCTTCGGCGACCAGCGCCGCGTAGTGCGTGTTCACGCGGGTCCACATGTTCTTGACGTGCTCCGTGCCGTCGTCATCCTGCGTCGCGAGCACGAAGGCGCGGCACAGGCGGATGTCGTCCTCGTTGGACCACGCGGCCTTGCTCTTGCGGCGGTTGCTCGGCGTCAGCGACATCGCGTGGAATGCTGGAAGGTTGAGGAATGATGAGGAATCCAAACTTTCGTTTCAGCACGCGACACATACAAAAAACAAGACGCCGATTCTGGGGGACAAAGCCTGGTTCATTCGAATGATATGTACAGATTTTACCCAATGGTATTCTTACCCAGAGGTAATAGAAGGATGCAGAGGGATGCTTTCGATGACACAATACTGCAGTGGAATCTTGTGTCGTATGTAAGCATCGGCAAGCGATGAACACCCGGTTGGTTATGCAGGTCGACGTTAAAGCAAGTTACCAAGATAGACGGCTACACAACAAAATGTCTCGAGCCGACCCCCTCCCAAAGCCCCCCCACACACACTTTTTGCAGGACAGCAACTTCCTGATTGTTCTACTGTTTGTCAACTTCGATCAAGTAACTTGATGGATAAGAGCCTATATTGACGACGTCAAACACAATCGAGCGCTAGCAGGTGTAAGTCTATTGTAAAGTCTATTGTACAAGGAAATGAACTGTTGCCAACAGTGCTCGCATTGCGAGACGCAGCCTGCAGCAGGGGTACAAATGTGCACAGAGAAGAATTACGTGCGACAAACGGTTTCTACGATAGAGGTCACTAACAAAGGAATACGCCCATTATGTCACAGGTTGAAGCACCCATCGAGCTGCAGGAAGCGTAGAGGATGCCCAACGAAGGAAGAGATAAACTTTTCCGCACGAGATTGCAGGTGTATTATCCTTTGTGGAAAGTGCTTCCCCGCCCAGTGTATTACTCTCACAGATACTACTCCTTGCACGCATGTGTGCCAAGAAGGAGTAGGATCCCATGAGAGTTTAGGAACCACAGTCGTGCAATGACCACCTCATACTCGCACACGTACATGTAACCGTTGGAACCTACGCCAACCAACAACATTCGTCGATGGACTACTTCCATGTTAAACTTCTGGGTCAGCACAGCGCCAATTCGATATCTGCAAACGCGTACATTCATGTATTCCTGGAAGCGTTACGTTGGGTAGTTGTTGAGGTTCATGGTTCATTCGAACCTTTCGAGAAATCTGCTCAAATCTGCTCAGTGTAGGTGGCTGCAGTGTAGCCTTCAAAAAGGATATATTGAGCCCCAACGTACCCCCGAGTTGTTAGCTATCATGTTCAAGCCGGCAAGGGCAAGAAAAGTTTTGGAAACCCCTACCCAGCGGTCGCTTCACCTCAGTAAACAATGTTACTATGTATCCAGACGTACGAAAAACAGTTTTTGATGGCCTGCAACTCTGTGGAAGCGAGGGTCTGACCTCCAAACCACAGTGCTTGTCAAGGAACAGCACGACCACACTACCGTACCGATCACTTCGATGACACGCTGAAAAACTTCTTCGCATGGTCGTGTTCTGAAGCAGCTGTTTACAAACTTATGGTGACTTCCACGAGGAATTTCCATAAATCAGTGATTTCACTGAGATTTGACAAAATGATTGTGATAGCTTGAAAGTACTGACTCAGTGATTTGGTAAATAGTAATACTACTAGTAGTATTTATTCGCTTCTTTCGATTACTATATTATTTCGAAGTGTACGGCGAGGCTCTCGTTGGGTAAGGCCCCAGTCGATGTGAAGGAAGCAGACACCACGACGAAGGCCGTAGCCTACTTAACTATGCGTCGACATGTTTCCCCCCTTCACAACCGAGCAGAGTCGCCGCGGTAAGAGACTTGAAAGAACTGAGCACCGATGAGATCCGACATATTAAACTAAGAACATGAACCGAAAACCTTGTAATGTTTGCAGGTGGGTGCGGAAGTACTTTGTCTTTCTACGTTGTGGGAATCCGCCCCTTTATAGGTTGCCAATACACTACTAGTAGTTACTATATCGCAGCACAATACAAGGGTGCGTTGCGTTAGCTGGGAGGACTACTTTATATTCCAAAAAGTCTGCTCGGTTGTATCTAACGTTAGCTCGATTTTACCGACTCGAGTACAACTATATCTTCCATACTGGAACACTTTGAAGAAACTAATAGATGTCTTCTTTGGCTACGAAGTAGCCAAGTCTTGTGCTAATACCTCGCCTACTGAGTGGTCGAGTGTTTTGGCGCCACTACAAAGCTAAGCCAAATCCAAAACATCAAGCATCAATACATGCGCTAGCAGTACCAAACAGTGGTTACGTACTATGTTCACATGCAAGTAGCAAATGAGGGGCGAAGCCCTTCATTTGCAGCGCCTACCATCATTTTTCTTAGGGAAATTTCAGGAAGGTGACTCAATATTAAAATTTGTGCAAAAGGTGATAGAAGGATTTGTGTCGAGAGCACATATTTCAGGTTCAGCAGCATTTGCTAGGGCATTGGTCACGACATTGTTTCCTCCAGCGGCGGCATGGGGAGTAAGGCATCCAAGCATGCTTTATGCAGCGTGGGCAGTGTCGCTCATGCGACACAGAAGGCGACCATACTCCACCAGAACAACTATTAGGCAGAGGGCGATGCCTACACCGGCATCGCCTTCGCGTTTACCCAGTGCTATACTGACACAATTGGTGCATTCAGCGACGTGCATGGCAGTCAGGTGCTGGCCGCTATCGGTGGCCAAATGCACTTGGCACAAAGCCTTGTATCACCTTTTGCACAAAATTTCATTTTGAGTCATATTCCGGAATTTTCCTTTTTTATTTGGACGCAACTATGGCGAAGCTGCCTACCGGACAGATTTTATAGTTTGTAGGCTAAGAGCTAAGGACATAAGCGTTTGCAGCGCCGACCACCATTTTTTATATGGATCCGATGATCTAGGCTGCCCGAGATCCAGGCGGACAGGTTTAATTTGTAGGCCAAGAGCTTAGCTGCGTGGACGTAAGACATCCTCAGTTATCCGTCAGTAACAAGAAACTATGGAATACAGTGTAGTTGTAGACTGATTGGTCATCCTGCATTCTCTTGTCGCTAACGCTGTCCTCATTTCATTGTCAATTAGCTTTGTGTGGTACGGTCGGGATGTCAATATGGCTATATTTGTGTAAGTATGGTGTACGATTGTGTGAGTATGGTGTGGCGAAATGTTGTTTAAATGTTGCCTGAGATACAAGCAACTTTTTTTGACGAATTGATCTGTGTGAGGCTGTCCATACAGCTCTTCTAGCTGTCCTCCCAGGATAATATCATCCTCAACGAGACTTTTACACGACCTGCGTTTATTTTTTTTGGTAAGATGTCTCTATTTACATACTACATTTATTCTGGGGTAGGAGTAAAGCTGCTAGTGCAACCTACATCCGATTATTTGTAGCCGATCAAATGAAGACGAGAGCTATGCATAGGCTGGGATAGCTATAGAACTTAGTGTGAGCATCTTCACCGCGGCGGCGCAGTCACTATCGCTATCACAATTCAACGAGATACAAAGTCGCGCGCGTTGCACGAAGAAGCTCTGAAATCTACGGATTACCTGTTACCTACAGTATCTGTGGTATGTAAATTTGCGTTTCCATTACAACGCATCTCCTGCTACATTGACTAAGAGCCTACCAGGATGTTTATGAGCCTTTCGCCCGTCGACCATTATCATCTTCTGCGGACCCAAACTTAACTCGCACAACACAATCTCGCTCAACTCGAACGCGGTTCATTCCTGAGATTGCAGGATCCGTGGACCCGTGGACGGAGGACCTGTAGCGGATGTTGAAGCGGTTGGCATTCCGCAAGGCTGTCCTCATTGCTACTTTATCACTTTTATAGGGCTGGGTACTTGGCTTCACAAAACCTTGGTCTATTAAAGATAACATATTTCATCTGAAGCTACTATCGATGCATGAAAACCAAAAACTAGGAAGGAAGGGGGTATGCGCTTCAAGCATAGTTCAGATATCACGTAAGTGCCACTGGTTGGTCGCCTGTCTCGTTGCAACCGGAGTATGTACTAATAACATCGACAGTGATACTATATTATGTAGTATTAGTTGTAGTAGGTAACATACTATTTACATGTACTATTTCTAGTATTACTATAGGTCTACATTTGACTTGCAAATTGTATGGACGCGCTAGTACGATACTACTGATGCTGCATCAGTGAATTCAGGCAAACTGTCACAATCATTTTGTCAAATCTCAGTGAAAATCACTGATTTATGAAATTCCTCTGACTTCCACAGAGCAAACAGAATCGCAAAGCTGGTTGACAGGGTTGATGTGCTTCAGCCCCCGCATACATGTATGGGGCGGGCCTCAACACACTTTCCTATGTAAATGTAGAAATGTAGCGCTTGAAGCCCCAGCCTAAATTATCTTGCTGGTGCACGAGTACCAATCAGCCTCCATATAGGCGGACAGTGAACAACTTGTTGCTTGATCAGAGTAAGCAGGTGATACAGTACCGGTAGTAGGTAGATTTGTGCAGCACCAACGAGGCTCGTTACGAGCAGGGAAAATATGATGCCGGCGAATATAATTCTCTTACCGGTATGCATTTACTAATGGTTCCCCGCAGCGTGCAGCTTGGCTTGAGTACACAAATGCACCGGTACCGAATCATTAACTTGTGGTTCATTGAAAAGCACCAAAGCACCAGGTTCTACGATAAGCTTACAGAATACTTTAGTGCTAGGTAGCATTCAGGACTGCCACGTAGACCGTCGAGCGCTCGACCTCGGAAACACGACATAGAGGCGGTACGTCCGAGTCGTGCGGCGCCGACAGCTTAACCAGTGCCGCTCGCGTCTTGGAATACAGATGCAGCACGAGCCTCGAGCTGTTTGCGAGTTAAAGATACCAACAGGATTTGGGAGCGTAGCGGCCACACGTTCATCGCTCGCCGACCCGATCGTGTCACAATCTCAACTCGTATGAGGGTGGCCATAGGCAAGCGGCGGCGCGATTTCGTACCAGTTCACCGTCCTCAACTGTGGAGGGCCATCACTTTGATGACCACCATTGATTAACCAAGTACCACTACAGTCCATGGAAAGATCGGCCGTCCAAAAGCTTCCTCCGCAGATCTGGGGCTGGTGCGCTCGCCCCGTAAAATCTTCGCTCATGCACATGCCCGCAGCGTGCCCGCATGGTGGCTTACGCTCGACGTATGGCCCAATCGCCAGGATAGCAGCTCAACGAACATGGCTGCGTTCGTGCATACAAAGGGCAAGAGCAGTTGTTAAAATCTGGTTCTCGTGATCATGATTTACAATCCTAAAATGCGCGCTGATCATTGGTCGATAAGCGCTCCAGCCAATCGGCGCGGCGCGTCCGTTATGGATCGCTTCAAACGAGGGGCCGACGTACGCGTCGCCACCCAAACCATTCCTCCTTCGACTCCGCCGAGCGCAAGCCAAGCCGCTACCGAAGCAAGAACACCAGCATCGCCACGTAGTCATGGTCATGGGCATCGTGACCGCCGGCATGGGCGCCACCAAGGCGCTGCTGAGCTTCTACGGCTCGCTGCTCTACTACTGGGTGCGCAAGGGCAGCTACTCCGAGTGCCCGTTCTTCGCCGACGACCTGCACGCCAAGACGTACGTGTACTCGATCGCGCTGCTGAACCCGCTGTGGAGCCAGCCGCACTACCGCCACCCGAGCTTCTACAAGGACCTGGTGACCAACCTGCGCAACGTGGCAATCCCGGGCACGGGCGTGCCGCTCTCGATCGTGAGCTACTCGCGCCTGATCCTCTTCCCCTTCATGCTCTTCGTGTACCCGTGGCTGTGCGCCATCGGCGCCTTCTTCGAGCTGCCCAAGGAGTACTCGAACAAGCAGGGCAGCATCTTCGAGCGCTTCATCCGCACCTTCACGCAGATCTTCGTGTGCCCGCAGAACTGGTTCGCCTTCTGGCGCGTCAACTGCCACGTCGTGAGTCTGCACAGCCTCAAGACCGACTCGCCCGGCTACCTCATGGAGAACAAGTGGGACTTCCTGCTCGAGGCCGAGAAGCAGGGCATCGCCGTGTCGCCCTACCTCAAGACGCCCGGCTCGCTGGTCGTCAAGGACCGCAACGAGGAGGGCGGCATGGGCATCTTCATGTTCAAGAACGCCGTGGACGGCGGTGACTGGATCATCCAGGAGAAGCTCGACAACTCGCCCTTCATCAAGAAACTGCTGCCGGAGGTGTCGCCGCTCTCAACCTTCCGCATCATCACGGCCTCGCGCCACGGCCTGGGTGAGGCCGAGGCGCTCAAGGACGGCGGCAACGGTGTCAAGTCGCTGAGCTGCGTGTTCCGCGCCGGTCTCGCGGGCGCCTCGACGGACCACAAGTCCATCATGTTCGACGTCGACATGGAGTCGGGCAAGATCCTCAAGGGCTCCACCACCACGCACTGGTACCGCGTCGGCCCGCACCACATGTTCCGCGGCAACCTGAGCGTCGGCCACGACATCACCAACCACCCCGACACGGGCGTCCCCATCACGGGCAACGTGATCAAGGAGATCAAGCAGATGAAGGAGCTCGCCGAGGAGGCCCACTACAAGCTCATGAAGGACGTGCCGCTCTGTGGCTGGGACGTGGCGCTCACCAACCTGGGCGTGCTCCTGCTGGAGGTCAACATCTCGTGCAACTTCTTCCGCGGCACCTTCGACCAGCCCTGGTACTTCCAGTTCCTGGACGACTACTTCCGCCACCTCGAGAAGCTGCCGACGCCCTCCAAGAAGTCCGACTAGACCGGGGGCAAACGCTGCGCAGTCAGTGGGGCCGCCGCATTCGCCTGTATTGCACGTCTGGCTGGACCTTGCCAAGTGTTAAACAAAATGCCAGCCACCTCTTGCATATGAACATGTTGCTTGCTTACAAGCTTAGCTGATGACGCCAACACTGCGCCTTCACATCTGACAAACCTATTGCCCAGCGTTCTTGCCCGACGGGGTCATGTGAGACCAGGCAAAGGATAAGATACTCTGCCATGTGAGACTTTGCTAAATGTAGCCATGTCGATGTGGTGTTGCTTTGCCTTCCGGTTGGCCGCGCCGAACTCCAATGGACTCGGCCCACGTGTTCGCCATCTTTCCGCCGACTTCAGCATGGACGACAGTCTCGAACCTGCAGCGGCGGAACGCACGCGGCTGCCTCCTTGATCATCAGGAATGACCGCCGACGCCACCACCTTGTCGGACGCCGTGCTCAGCGAGCTCTTCGCCTTCCTCGCGGTCGATGACCTTTTGGTGCTGGAACGCGTGAGCCGCGCCTGGAGACGCACACTGGCCACGGCGCGCTTCTGGAGCCATGTGCAGCTCATTCACGAATGGAACGACAGCGAGCTGGCGTCCGCAGTCATCCGCCTCGTGGCCAAGCGCCACGGCCCGCAAGTCAAGAAACTGACGCTCATCGGCTGCGTCGTGCCGAAGGGGACGCTCGTCAAGGCGGCCAAGCTCTTCACCGGTCTCACGCACTTGACGGTGTCCGGCTGCCAAACCATCGAGAACGTCGACTTCACCGCGCTCGTGCGAGCGTCGAGCGAGCAGCTGGTGGAGGTGCGTGCGGTCAAGTGTCTACGGCTAACGGATGCAGCACTGCAAGCCGTTGCCGAAAACCACTCCCAGTCTTTGGAGCGGATCAACTTCAGCTACTGCAGACAGATTTCCGAGGACGGAGTGGAGTCGCTGGTGCAACGCTGCGGCAATTTGCGCTCCATCAAGCTGAAGGGGTCTCCAGCAGTGACGACATCTGTGGTCGCTCACATCGCGCAAAGCTGTCCAGCACTTGACACGCTCCTGGTTGGAGGAGCCAAGAACCTGACGGACGAATGCTTGCTGGCCCTTGGAGACCACTGCCCGTGGTTGACGTCGCTGGACATTTCGCGAAGCAATCCGTTTGGATTTGGCCGCGGTGGCATTACAGATAACGCGTTGAAGTATCTGGTCTTACGATGCCCGCGGCTAGAGCACCTTACTCTCTGTGGACAAGGCCGATTGACGCTCGCGGTGCTGAGCTCTCTAGCGACCTCGTGCCCCAAACTCGAGACGCTGGACATCGGCGGTTGTCGAGGAATTATCTCGGATCCCATCGCTCTAGGTGCCGAGCTGAAGCGCATGGGCGGACTTCATGAGCTCAGCGTCGCGTTCACGCGTGGTCTGAAAGGCGAGCAAATCGATTTCATAGCGTCCCAGTGCCCTCAGCTGAAGGCTTTCCGCGTTGACGGAGACAATGTAGCCGCTCCCCACGCATGAGCGTGAGCTATTGTATAGTGAACGTGTGCACCATGCATTACTTCAATCCCAGTATTTATGTGAAATGTTTTTATCTGGAAGTTGGATCGCCTTGCGTATTCTAGCTAGTCCACAGCGTATTCAGTTTTGAAGAACTCCTCGATCGCGTGAGCTGCCGCGGAGCTCAGCACCGTCACGTCCAGAAGTTTGTTCGCCCCAGCTTGGGCAATCGAGGCGATGTTTCCTACTCAGTCAGTACTCAGAGTGAGCGGTTTCAATTGGCACTCGAAGTATCTCAGAACAGCTTACCGAAAAGGTCGAGAAGCATATCACACTCATCAACGCTTAGAAACGGGAAGTTGACTTGCAGCGTCTCCATCGCGTTGTTGCGTGTGAGCAGTTCGTCGTTCATCTGATAGAGTCGACTCGTAGCTCAGCTTGTAGGTCTCAACAGCAGTAAGACAAAGCTACCTTGCGGACGTACACGCTTGTTCAGTTGTTCAGCCTTCTCGGATATGCTATAGGCGTGCTTCTCATGGACAGACACCTGCAGTGCAGATACGTCAAAACACGCCCACGTTGCAGCAGTAAATTATGGCGGACGTACCATGAGCTTCACTGCAGCAGACACACTGAAGACTGTGTTCATGCTTTTCTGTTAGATACATGGAGGCATACGTGTTCCGCTACATGATAACCTGTGAACATCTTGAGCTGCACTGAATTGTTGATGGCGAGGAGCTGCAGCTCCGAGTACCGCGGGATCGGGAGGATACTGATAGCGGATACGTTGTCGAATGCCTTCTCGACTTTCAACAGCCTGTGCGTCAGATAAGAGGAAACAGCGTTAGCTGCGTGCATGCAGATCCACCGCATTTCGTTATACTTTCCTGTCAATCGTGCCCTCAAGCGAAAATCCCGGTGCCTCCCTGTGTACGAGCTAAAGAATCCGTTCATCAGCAGCAAAACAACGTTCCGCAATCCGTAAACTTCCTTCGCACCATGAACGCCACGGGAGGGAACTCGCCCTTTCGCTGCGAGATCATCACGTCTGAAGTGCCGTCAATTAGCCAGTCAGCCGCCCGCACGGGTAACCGAAATCTTGACCATTTACCTGCAAGACACCCGCTCGCCTCTATAGTCCCGCCGAGCACACCAGTCAGCAAGTTGCATCGATGTATGTGCAGGTTATGACCCCACTATCTCGCCTTTCGGGCTGAATCCGTAGATTCCCTCGAGCTCCTGAGCCACTGCATGTCATAACTCAAGTCAAGAACTCCCCTGACACCTTCGGCAACCTCACCACGCAGCCCGCACCTTCGCTGGGCACTGTGCGCGGGTTGTAGAGCACCAATTGCCCCCTGGCACCTCGGCAACGCGTGATCTTCCTGCTTGCCATGCTGCTGGCAGATTGCGGAATGCAACTTCAACTTGAAGACCATCACTCTACCACACCATCGACACACCACATGATACATGAACGGTACATCTCACACTAAGTACGACGATTAAGTACGTCACTACCACACAATTGCACGTCACCGACCATCAACAGGCATGAGCTTCTGGCGGGGACTGCCTCGGCCGCTCTACTGCGTGGCGCCCATGGCGAACGTGACGGACGCCGCGTTTCGCCGCCTCATCAGCGAGATCGCCAAGCCGTCAGTCATGTGGACCGAGTTTGTCAGCTGCGAGGCGCTGACGCACGACCCGGACTCGCGCCGCCGCATGATGACCACACTTAAGTACGCGGAGGTGGAGCGGCCTGTGGTGGCGCAGCTCTTCGGCTCCAAGCCGGAACAGTTCTACGAGGTATGGGTAGATTTTTATTCCTTAAGGTTTGTGTAAATATATATTGCGATACTCACCTGCTCGGTCTGCTGCTGCCAGTCCGCCATGATCGTGCGCGACTTGGGCTTTGACGGCATCGACATCAACATGGGCTGCCCCGAGAACAATGTGAACAACCAGGGCAGCGGCGCTGCGTTGATTCTGCAGCCGGACTTAGCAGTTGACATTGTGGCTGCGTGCAAACGCGGTGCTGGGGACCTGCCGGTGTCCGTCAAGACACGGATTGGCTTCCACCACATCGACTACAAGGACTGGGTGCTGAGGCTGTTGGGGACTGAGCCGGAGGTGCTTACTATCCATGGGCGAACGCGCGACGAGATGTCCAAAGTTCCAGCACACTGGGACGTCATTGGCGAGGTAGTGACGCTGGCGAAATCGGCGGGATCCCCAGCGCTTATCCTCGGCAATGGCGACGTTGAAAGCCTTGTGGACGCGAAGAAGAAAGTGGACGAGTATGGGGTGGACGGCGTTATGCTCGGACGTGCGCTATTTGGCAACCCGTGGCTGTTCCAGGGATCCTCCGACACGACTCATGTGCCTGTGAAAGAAAAGCTGGAGGTGATCCGACGCCACACGCAGCTTTTCCAAGAGATGCTGGCCGACCCGGGTCTCGTTGGATTCCCGCGCATGAAGAAGTTTTACGGCTCGTATCTCAAAGGTGTACCCAACGCGCGCCAGCTACGAGACCGCATGGCGCGCACCCAAACACCCCAAGACGTATACACTATCATCGACGAAGCGCTTGAGTACCTGGCAACTCAGGAACAAGAGCAAGTTTCCGCAAACTAGAAGCAACAATACAAATGCAAAGTGATCATCTATGGTATGGTATTTTTTTTCTTCATTCTGCATGTCCCCCCAGCTTAGCTGCAAGCTGCGTCTTCAACCTGCAGCTGAACGAGCTCGTCCTCAACACGGGCGTCGAGTACCTCGTCGGGTAGAACCTTCATGGCGCTTTCGATCATCTCACGCAGCTCCGGTCGGGGTCCCTTCTTCGCCCACTGCGCCGAGATTTCACGCTTGAATGCCTTGCCGCCGAACTCGCCGCTGCGTAATAGCAACATATACGACGTAAGTATCCGAGATCCAACGCAAAGTAATACGATTTTAACGTACTTGAAGAGTGACAGCAGCGGCTTCATCAACGCAGATGTGGCCATGGTGTAGGGAGAGTCGCTTAGAGGCTCGGTAGAGCCCCACTTCGCCTGCAGGCCTTCAGCATAGTCAAGATACCGGGCAATAATCTCGCGGCGCGACAGGTTTGGGTTGCGCTCAGCGTTGAAGATCAGGCGGTCAGCGTCACGGAAGTTCCACGGCGTGTTATACGCCGCGCGGCCGATCATGACACCGTCGACGTTCGTGGTGTCCAGCAGCTCGCGCGCGTGCTGAATGCTCTGCACACCGCCGTTCAGCGTGAAGGACAGCTCGGGGAAGTCCTGCTTCAGCCGATAGACGACATCGTAGCGTAGCGGCGGGATGGTGCGGTTGTCCTTGGTGCTCAGTCCCTTAAGCAGGCACTTGCGCGCGTGTACAATAATGTGGCGCACGCCGGCCTCCGTTACACTGGAGACGTAATGATGAAGCTCCTCGTAGCTGTCGCAATCGTCCACACCGATGCGGCACTTGACCGTCACTTCCGCCGCTGGACGGTCCGGATTCTCTTCCGCAGCCAATGCGACGTTGCGCCGCATACTGGCGCAAATGTCCCGCACGCGCTCGGGCTCCAGCATAAGTCGAGCACCGAAGCAGCGACTCGAAACCAGCGCGCTGGGGCAGCCAGTGTTCAGGTTGATCTCACAGAAGCCGCCGTACGACTGGCTCAGATGCGCCGCCGCTGCATCAACGCAAGGTAGCACAACATCAGCGCACCTTTTTAATAAGCTCAACAACCTGCGACTACGAAGGCGTCGATAGGAACCTCACCTCCGAGATCCTCGACGCTATTGCCGCCGAGCTGCAGCGCCAACGGCGCTTCGATGGGGTCGTGGCCCAGGAAATAGTCGAGGTTCTTCTTCTGGTGCAGCAGCTACAGAACAAGAAAGCACCTCAATAAGTAAGACGTCGTGTGCAGTTAGCAGTGTGAAAAGTGGCGCCGACGCACCGTCTGGTCCACCACCATTTCGGTGAACAGCAGCGTCTCCTTGGTGATCATGCGCATCATGAAGCGGTAGTGGCGGTCCGTCCAGTCCATCTACAGCATTAATAGGGTAGAGAATATCAGCACATCCATAGCGGCAAAATGTCGTTGATTGCTAGCTAGCGGTGGCGTACCATGGGCGCGACGGACAAGCGAGCTACCGGCGGAAGAGCAGCCATCGTCCTCCTGAGCATGCTCCGATGCCAACGATTCGCTCAGGTCGATTTTTGTAGGCTTCTTAAATTCTAAATGTTAAGATTTAGGAAACATATGTATTGATTTAAAATGGTTTCAAATCAAACAGTAATGATGTATTTTACGAACGACGACTGAAAACTGCAGCACTCGACGAGTGCTTTTCGGACCGAGTTTCTCGCCGAGAATTTCTCGGTGCGACTCGCGCGAATGCACGGCGCTTTCAGTACATACCGTACGGTACCTTTACCAGCAAACACCAGAAGCGAAGGTCGAGGTACCGCAACAGCATGCAAAAAGCATTAACATCGGAGCCCAGTCCAAAGCCGCAGTCACAGCGCACGTAGTGTTGACGTGGAGGACGCGTGCTATCATTTTAAATAAGTGCAGCCTCGCTAGCCGGGCGCAATCGCGAGCTGCCCGTGATCATCATGGTGTCGGCGGCCGACTCGGCTCGCCGAGCAGTGTCGGCGCCCGCGTAACGCTGCACATCGCGGAGCACGACCATCGGGTCACCGAGAAGCTCCGGCGAGCGCCGGCCGGGCCCTAGGATGCAAATGGTGCTTTTGCGCCGGGAGCTGCCGTCACCAAAGCACGCTGGCAGCCAATGGCCTGTCGACACGATCTGATCGGCTGGCGGGTGCACCATGACGTCAACAGGAGAGTTAGCTGATCTTCCGCCCTGCATGGGACTGCTCAGCAGCAGTCTGCTTGGGCTCACTGGTGGCTCCATCACGCCACAGAAAATAGATCGCCCACGCCACCGGCGTTAGCCGCGGAGGCGAGTGGTGCTGCTGCCGCAGCGCCATCGCATTGATCGATGCTGAAACGACTTATCTAGGCACATGTGGCCTGGGCGAAGCAAAGTCTCCTGCAGGCGAACTGGCCTTTTGAGACTGCACCTGGATAAGTCCGTTTTATTTTCTCTTCTAACGTGCGCCACAAATGGAGAGCGCGGCTGTTCTGGCTTGGGAACGGGCCACTCGTAGATTTCCACTGTCGAGCTCAAGAGTCCACCACACACCTCGCGGAAGCGGGTATCAAGAGATCACAGCCGCAATTCCGCACGGATCCGTCGAAGGGCTCGTATATATCGAACTACAAGCCAGCCGCCGCTTGTCCTTCCTCCTTTACCTTCCAGTCGAAGTTATCGCCAAGACACACAGACAACCGCACCATGACGCTCAGTGGACCCGTGAAGCAGCAGCTCGAGGCCGCGCGCGGCTACGTGTACCCGACGGACGGCGCGCTCGTGCCCGTGAGCGCCAAGAAGGTGGCGGCGCACCAGCTCCTGCACGGATACCGCCACCGCAGCGCCAAGGTCTGGCACTTCCTCGGTCATAAGCTGGCGGCCATCAAGACGGTCAAGCAGCGCAAGAAACTGCTCGAGGTCGTGGCCAAGGGCGACCTGGCCGAGGTCATGGACGCGCTCAACGCCGGCGCGGAGCTCACGGCCAAGAACTCGCTCGGCCACTCGCCCGCCTACGTGGCCGCGTCCAACGGCTTCCACCACGTGCTCTCGCTGCTGCTGGAGCGCGGCGCCAGCGCTACCGACGTGGCCCTGGACGGCTCCACGCCGCTGCACGCCGCCTGCGAGAACAACCACGACCGCGCGGCCAAGATCCTGCTCAAGTATAACGCGCGCGTGGACGTGGCGGCGCTCAGCGGGTACACGCCGCTGCACCTGGCGGTCAAGCACGGCCACTCGGAGATCGTGTCGATCCTGCTCGCGGCCAAGGCCAAGTACGACTTCCCCGTGCGGGACACGACCACGACGGCACTGCTGCTGGCCTGCATGGCCGGCCACTCGAACGTCGTCGAGCAGCTGCTGGACGCCGGCGCCGACCCGCAGGTGGAGGACGCAGAGGGCAACACGCCGCTGCACTTTACGAGCCGCGACGGCAACTACCGCGCGACGTACCTCCTGCTGACGGCCGGAGCGGACCCGGACATGCCCAACGAACAGGACCAGACCGCGTTCGACATGGCCGAACTACAGGGTCACTCTCACGTGCAGTATCTGCTCGAGACGAACGGCATGGGCGTGGACGGCCAGACCGTGGACGAGATGGACATGGCCTGCGCGCAGGACGCGCGGCTGAGCGAGTCGCTGGCCCGCAACCGGCCCGAGATCGCCGAGGTGATCGTGAAGCTCCACATGAAGTACGCCAGCTACTTCGCCCTGGGCGCGCTGCCCGAGGACGAGCGCGTCACGGAGTTCACGGAGAACCACAACCAGTTGCTGTTTTAGGCGAGCTGTCGCCTGTGATACGCCGCATGTCGGTGCTATTACTACTCTATGTACAACCAACAAACCCATGCGCAAACTCAAGCAAGAGAGTTCCATGCGAGGCCGGCAGTATCAGAGCCTGCCTCCATATCATCAATAAATCTAGCCCCACCATTCAGCACGATTCCAGCGACAGAAGCGGAAGCATGGCGAGCGCGTTCCATTCGATGTGTGTGTGTGAGCGCAGATAGACAAATAGACTGTATGTGAAACCTGGAATGTAGTCGAAGAAATCATTCGCTTCAAACAAACCCGTCTGGTCATTGCCGTGTACACACATACTTCACGCCATTAGCTGATCCTTCATGCCATTCACCTCGAAGACGTGGCTGTGGGGCGCTCACCACTTCGAAGAGCTCCATACGGGCACGATAACTTCAACTTGATGTGGTGTGAAATTAGAATACACCTTTGTGGCTACTGCCTCCTACTACTTGCTCGTTGATCTACACGCAGCCGGAGGACAAGACCTTGCTGCGTTGGAGCACGCGGCCCTCCGGCGTGTACGGCCGCGCGTTGTACTGCTTGGCATGCACGCGGACTACTCGCGGCACGTAGCGATCTTCCTCCTCCTCGTCTTGGTTCTGGCAGAAGCAGTTGCAAACGTTGACACCCGCGCTCGAGACCGACGATGTATCCGAGTACGAGTGCCGCCGCTCTGTGTCTCGCGGCACCACTCGGCTGCCCCGGTGAAGTTGCTGTCCTGCGTTGATCTGTGTGGCTCCTAATGATGCTCGCTTGCTGTTCATCCGGGACCTCGCGTGGGCTTCCGTTGCTGTAGCCGCGGATACTCCACGTGACTCCATGCACTTCTGCCGGAGAGACTGCGGCGTAGGCGGCCGCTTCATGTACGCAGCGCCCTTGACACTGCTGGTGACACTGCCAACAGAGGATGAGGAGTAGGAGCGCACGCTGCCAGCGCTGCACGGGCGCGGCGTATAAGTGGCATCGCTACGACCCGCTAAGCTCGCTGTGTCGGCCTCGCTGGGGGTACTCGGTCGCTGTCGCGTGGAGACCCGAGGAAGCGGGCGCGCACAGGTTGAGCCCCTTCCACTTGCAAGTGATAGTGCCTCAAGGTGCGGGCTGTTAATGTCGCCGGTCGACATCGAGCACGTTGGCTGGAGACTTTGGCGCGCACTCACGTTCTTCATCCTCTGCTGATCCACCATCTCTCGCCTCTGCTGCAGCATGTGTGTCTTGCGTGGGTTGGCAGTTCTCGGCCGCTCCTTCTTGACTCGAGTCGGTGGCGTCGCAGGACCTCCCTCTTTGGTGCTGACGGAAGACGCTGACCCTCGACGAGGAGTAACGCGAGATCCCTGGCTGTTGACACTTGCTTCAGCGATACCTTCCAAGCCATTGCTGTCAGTAGCGTCGTCCTCTTCCTCACTGTCGCTCTGCGTCCAGATTCCTCCGGGCACTCGACTGTTGGATGGATATGCGGGCGGGTCTACGAACTGCAAAAACTCTTTCAGGTCGATCTCTCCGTTGCTGTCCTGGTCGCACAAGGAGAAGAGCTGCCGCATTTGCTCGTCACTCGCGTAGATGCCGAACTTCGTCCGCAGGTTGAACTGCAGCCCGTTCATGCGGATGCCTTGGTCCCGTCCAGAGCGGAGCATCTTGAACGCGCGGCGGTACTGGTCCTCGCCACTCGGAGTCTTCTGAACGACTTTGGCCTGGATCTGCTTCTTGAGCGTCTCGATGGTCCAGTTGGAAGCCGCTCCCATGTTGTCCACTTCCTCTGTCGTCGCCTGATTCTGGCACGCGAGGAACTCCTGCCGGGCCTCGTGCCTGAGGCGCGCAGCCTTCTGCTCGCTCTCGAGCTGGCTCACCTCGAACCACTGCCGCCCGTAGTTGTAGTCGGGCGGCAGCACGCGGCGGATGAACTCGTGGAGGTCAATGGTGCCGTTGCCGTCCTCGTCGTACTTGTCGAACAGCAGGTGTAGCTCGCTGTCGTCCAGGATAATGCCAAACTTCATTCGGAGCTGCTCCCGGAAGCTCGGGAAGTCGATGCCTTCGCCCCGAGTGCCTTCGAGCAGGCGGTACGCCTGCTGGTACACGAAGTTGCCGGCGATCAAGGTCTTCTCCTGGATCTTCTCCTGCAGCTTGCGCTCCACCTTGTCCACGTTCCAGCGGAAGTTCTGCAGCGACGCCGGCAGCTCATGGCCGATGGGGTCTCGGAACAAGACCTTGGGCGGCGAGCTGTACAGCTTGGTCTTGTCCTTCTTCTTCTTGGTGGGTCGGCCGCCGGAACCGGGCACGCGCTTCAGCACGGCGCCTTTCATTGCCGATACGAGAGCCGACCTTGGGTGGGAGCCTCTTGCAGAGCCGCAGGACAGGACGGGGATGGTCACAGACAAGAAGTAATCGCCGCGCCAAGACACTTTCGGGGGAGCTAGGGCGCCCTATTAATACTCACTCTCCCCACAGATTCTCGCCTTTCATGCCATGGTGGCTGGAAGCGCAGTCGTCCTCGACCTCATACTCATACAGACAGGCAAGGGGCTATACTTGGCGCCGCCCTCTCAGCGGCAACAAATTGACCATCATTCTGAGCCTTGACGTTGAAGTTGATACCGAGGATCCAACGGAGTCAGGACCGAAGAAGGGAGGGAGGGAAGGAAGAATGGAAGGTTGTCCAACGTGCATTGCCCAGGGCCATGACAGCTATATCATACACCAAGATACCCACAGCGTTTGATACTTAATGATTCTCAGTCTCAGAGACCCATTGCAGATACCTTAGCACGACTCCTTCCGGGGTTCGCAATACAAAACATAAGCAGCAGCCATGTGGGGCACCAAGTACAGCAGCATGGGAAAACAGTAAGCGCCGGAGAATCTACCTGCTGCTGCACGCCCAAAATTGGCCCGGACTGCTGTCGAGATCTTGCCAGGCTGATGCAGCAAAGCTGCCCGCCTCAGTTCCGCTTGACCGGGAACGTTTCCACTAACTAAGAAGCACCAATTCCACCGTGGCAGCAACCATGTTTGTATTAGCAACCCCCATGTGAGTAGCTCGCAGTTGAATGAGATTCATTCTGGTCTAGGCCGCCGCCACACAAACACAGAGAATCCCAGCAGACTGTTTCAAGTCGCCCTGGCGTTGTCTTCGCCTGCCGCGACCACGGAATGGTACTGTAGCCATGTGCATTTTCCGCCAATCAGTCGGGCTTCTCGCGCCCGCCGGGGACAACTTGCACTCGTCCATCCTCCGCCATGACGTCGCTGAGCGCTGCGCCCCCGCCCGAGGGGGCCGCGCGCTTCAATGACGCCGACTCGGACGCCAGGTACACGCTGGGCATCTGCGTGATGGAGCGCAAGGCGCGCTCGGCGCCGATGCTGGAGATCCTGGGGCGCCTGCCGCCCGAGCTCTTCCGCGTCGAGTTCTTCGGGGACGACACGATCCTGAACCGGCCCGTGGAGGCCTGGCCGCGCTGCGACGCGCTCATCGCCTTCTTCTCCAAGGGCTTCCCGCTGCAGAAGGCACAGGACTACGTGGCGCTGCGCCAGCCCGTGGTGGTCAACGACCTGGCCACGCAGTACGTGCTGCAGGACCGGCGCGAGGTCTACCGCGTGCTGCAGGAGCACGACGTGCCGACGCCGCGCCACGTCTTCGTGAGCCGCGACGGCTACGGCGGCCGCACGGAGCCGCCCGAGGTCGTGGAGGGCGACGACTTCATCCAGGTGGACGGCGTGCGCATCAACAAGCCGTTCGTGGAGAAGCCCGTAGACGGCGAGGACCACAACATCCACATCTACTACCCCATGAGCGCCGGCGGGGGCTGCAAGCGCCTCTTCCGCAAGATCGGCAACCGCTCGAGCGAGTACGACCCGCAGGTCAACACGGTGCGCTCCGGCTCGGGCTCGTACATCTACGAGGAGTTCCTCTCCACGCAGGGAACGGACGTCAAGGTGTACACGGTGGGCCCGCACTACGCGCACGCTGAGGCGCGCAAGTCCCCCGTGCTGGACGGGCGCGTTGTGCGCGACGCGGACGGCAAGGAGGTGCGGTACCCCGTGATGCTGTCCACCGAGGAGAAGCAGATCGCGTACCGAGTGTGTCGCGCCTTCAAGCAGACCATCTGCGGATTCGACATCTTGAGGGTGCGCGACGCCTCGTACGTGTGCGACGTGAACGGCTGGAGCTTTGTCAAGAACTCGGAGAAGTACTACGACGACTGCGGCATCCTGCTGACGCAGTACCTGGAGCAGGCGCTGGCTGGGGGCACGATGGTAGGCGACGACTTCGGCACGGACAGCTCGGCCTTCAGCTCTGTCACCTTCCGCTTCGCGCCTGATGCGCCGCCCCCAAGCGCAGAGCTGTCGGAGCCCCCGACGGCGCACAGACACGCGATGCTTCGCGGCCAGTCCTCGTCGATCGCCGAGTCGGAAATATCGGAAGCCGACAGCATCACGGACGGCAACGAAGACGGACTGTACCAAGAGGAGGAGCTTCGCTGCGTTCTGGCCGTGATCCGACATGGCGACCGCACGCCCAAGCAGAAGATGAAGATGAACGTCTGCCACCCGGCCTTCCTGCAGTTCTACGAGGATCGACTGCGCGAATCTCAGCAGGAGAACGGTGACGGAAATGACTCCAAGAAGAAGAAGAAAATGGATCTGAAGATTAAGGCCGTGGCGAACCTAGAGCGCCTGCTGCAGGTGAGCAATAACCTGCTGCAGAAGTACGAGTCGCGCGACCCTGCGTTCATGGACTTCCTCGAGCAGCGCGAGGTCAAGTTTGGGGAGGACGCGACGGACCGCGTCAAGGGATATCGCACACTGAGAGATGTGCTGCAGCGCTGGCAGCTTGTGGGAATCAACCGCAAGGTGCAGTTGAAGCCCAAAGAGTTTGTGGATGTGCCTGTTGAAGGCGCGTTGGAGAATGGTGAACAGCTGACGAGACGCCGCGTGAGCAAGTTGCTACTGATCATCAAGTGGGGAGGTGATTTAACCCACACAGGCGAAGAGCAAGCCGAGCATCTTGGCCAGAAGTTCCGACGCATGATGTACCCGGGCGGCGCTGGCGGTTTGAATCGTCTTCACTCGACGTACCGCCACGACTTGAAGATCTACACCAGTGATGAAGGTCGTGTCCAGAAGACGGCAGCGTCCTTCGCTAAGGGGCTGCTGGAGCTCGAAGGTGACATCATTCCTATCCTTGTTGGACTTGTGCTGAAGTCGAAGGACGCCGACTCGATGCTGGACCAGTCTGGGTCTTCAGCCCAGGAAATCATCATGCGGGTAAAGCAGCGTCTGCACAAGATCATCCACCGCGAGGACCATTGCAGTCAATTGATTGACTCCAATTCGCGGCTTATTCGCTCTGTAGCCCTTGCGCTAACCAAGGTGGACCAACCGATCAAGAAAATGGGGATCATGCACAAGCTACTGAACTCGCTGAAGGAACAACTGACGCGGATGATCCAAGAGAAGGCGCAGTACCGCACAGAGATCGACCGATGGCAACAGAAGAAGGCTCATGCTGGTCGGTTGATCGCGCCCGCCATGGGTCGGTCCGCGAGTGTGAACGAGCTGAACCAGCCGAGAAGCCGCCACGTGCATTCCTACGCCCCCCGGAAGCAGCACAGCGAAGGCAGTAACATTCCTAGCGACGCTGCCAACAGCAGCGTGGGCCTGCGCAAAATGCGAGTACAAGAACCGCTGTCTCCTGAGGAGATCAAGTACCCAGAGCCCTGTGGTCGTGAGACCCTCGAGGTGATGCGCGAGCGGTGGGCAAAGCTGTACCGCGATTTCTACGTTAAGAAGCGTGACACGTATGACCTGTCCAAAATTCCGGACATCCACGACTGCATCCGCTACGATGCAGTCCACAACGCGCATCTGAACTTGACCGACGTGCGCGAGCTCTTGGAGATCTCCAGCGCGCTTTCACATGCCCTCGTGCCGCAGGAATACGGTATCAACGTGGATGAGAAGATCTTCATTGGGTCGGCGATGTGTCGAACGCTGCTGTCGAAGATTAACACCGATTTGGATCTGGCTCGCGGTCTTCGTCCCGAGCTTATGAAGGACCACAACACCCATCGCCTGAATCCGTCGTACGCCAAGCAAATCAAGTCCACGCACCGCTCAGTACGCACGCGCCTGTATTTTACCAGCGAGTCGCATTTGCACTCATTATTGAACGTCCTGCGCTACGGTCGGGAGGAATGTACGGTGAAGAGTCCTATTGGCGAGGAGTCTCGGAAGTGGATCGAAGACATTCCTGAACTTTGCTACATGACGCACTTCGTGGTGCGGGTCTTCGAGAGGGTTCAGTACGCCCTTACGGATCCTCAGCGCTTCCGTGTGGAGATCTCTGTCTCTCCTGGAGCGGACCAAGACCCGCTGGTCTCCGACCCAGAGAAGCAGGTCGAAGTTGCACCGCTGAAGATTATTTCACGCGAGGGCCTCACGTGCCAGGAACTTGTTGACTACGTCGCCGACTGTATCGACTTTGCCGAGCAGAACGAGATCAAGGAGATGATCAGCCGCACGGTGGCGGCCAAAGGCAACGGCAGTCCCGAAAGCACGGCGGGCGGCAGCACCAACACCAGTGGGGACGTGACACCTGTGAAGCGCTCGATGTACTCGCTCAGCAACAACAGCAGCGACAGCAACTTTAGCAGTGACAACTAGCCTGTCGCCTGCTTTCCTCAAGACGCCAAGCGTGTTCAGTAAGTAGCCTGACATTGCTGTGTATTGGGCACGTTTTACCTCGCGATGCAGGCAATAATACTTGTGTGCTACTGCTATATGGTTGCTCTTACTTTATTGTGTCCGCGCTTAGGCATGTGGTGCGTCCTCCTGTTGCTCCCAACACTCCGCGTACGCTGCCGTCTGGGCTTCTGCTTGGGTATTCTCAAAGCCGGTGCTTTCTCGTGCTGATCCAGGTGCTGGCTTAATGGATGGCGAAGGTGGTTGCTGCTCGCATTCCTCGGGGCGACCGCCGCCACCTGGTCCGCCCGGCGGAACTGAAGACTCAAACCGCGAGATCTCGTCGTGCCGGGACTTGAGGTGGAGGAACTCCTCGCGTCCATGGTCCAGGTGCACCATCTCGTCGTTCAGATGCTCCGTTTGCTCGAACTGCGTGATCTCACGGTGAGCAAACTCGCCGTCCAGTGACTCCATGTGCAGGACCTCCGTTTGGTGCCGCTCCTTCTCCACGAGTCGCTGCGGTTGGCCCTTTTCGTCGATCTTGGTGTACTCGGTGATTCGCTCCTGGATGGTAACTTCGCGCTTCTTCCAGAGACCAGGAGCCGGAGGAGCTCGTGCAACTGCATGATGTGCGCGGGCGGGGTCGAAGGCGACAAGTGCTTCGCTGAGCTGCTGTGACCTGGACGGTCGAGGTGGAGGAGTAGGCAAGCCCCCCTCGTGCCGTTGACGCTCCTCTTGGGCTGCTCGGACCGCCGCTGACTGTAGAAATCGCACGAAGTCGTCGAAGCCCAGTTGCGTTTCCTTCGGACCCAAGCCAAACACTTGCACCAGCAGCAGACGGCGGTACGGTGGAATGGACAGGTAAGCGCACAGCTCATCCAGCTCCAAGAAGTCGCCACACTGTTTAGGATCGCTTCTCTCGACTCGCTTCCGCAGCGACTGGAATTGTTCGTGCAGCGTCTCCTTCGGCCGTCGAAGATTGAACGCGCGTAGCACCAGAAAGTGTTGCAACTTGATGCGCCGCTCCGCTTCACGTGCTTCTCGTGCTGAGCTCTGGTTCCCAAGCCCATGCAGCGCTCCACTCCTGTTGAAGCTGGCACTGCTATCCCCCTTAGCCACAGTCATCTGTAGAGCGGAACTGTGGCACACTAGTAAACGCTGGTAAGTGGGTAGTGTGTGTTGCTGTCTGCAGAGTTGTAGACTCTCATGCATTAAAATTAGAGACTAGCGCACTACCCTACAGTCGCATCTTCTGTTTCCTCGGGAGTGTTGTCGTCCTCGTACGGCCATGCGGCTAATAGGTCTGCCTCGATGTCGTTCTTTACAGACTCGGTGCCTTGCTCTTCATCCTTTCTACTCAGCACAACGCAAGCATGCGCGAACGCGCAGCGTAAGCGACCAAGAGCAAGTCGGGAACAGAGCTTTCCGAGGTCGCGCTCGATCTCCACGGGGTCTTCTAAGCACAGCCGGGCGTTGTTTTGACGAGACCACCCCTTGCTGGCCTTCGTCACGACCTCTTTCGTGCGAAGACTAACGACCGTGAGCTCGTAGCCGAATTCGCAAGTGTAGAAGCGGAAAAAGCCGCACCGGAGTGCCCGCCAATCTTGCACTGCACGCTTAGCGTGCTCCTCGACGCAGACAAAGGACTTGTCTACGGCTTCGAGGCGCTCGTCAATGGCACTTTCGGTCAGCTCGCGTAGACTGGACTCGTCCTCGACTACGTGGGCGCTACAGTCCAAGACGGGTAGTACACTGATTCGTTGGAGATAGTAGAGCGCAAGGAGCATCAGTCCATACGAACTCACTGCTCCGCCGACCACGCGCTTCTTGGCGTGGCGCCACTTGCGCAGCCACTTGCAGAGCTTCCTCACGTGTTCAAGTTGAGTTTGCTCGGTAGACCCGATACTAGCTCCACCGTACAACAGCCGTCGCAGCAGTCGAGTGTTCCAGAGAGCAGGAAGATTGTTCACGCACAGATCACACGGCAGGTTGCTGGACGGGTCTCGGAAGTTCACAATGGGGACACGCGCCCTCGTAACAGCAGTGACGTGTTCCTTTTCATCGGTGCTGTCGGGCAGAAAGTAAAGAGTCAAATGCTCCTTCACTTCCGTGACCAGAGGCGCAGTATCCTGCCGGAACTGAGCAGCAGACGGCAACAATGCGCACATATCCACATCAGCCGCCACGCCCTCTTCATCCTCAGGAAGTTCCAGCAATCGAGTCACCGAGGAACCAAAGAGCGGCACGCGCGCATCAGGCCACAGGAGGCGCAGCACATTCTGCACACGGCGAGCCACTTGCTGTCGCCGTTGAAGTTCCTTCTCCATAGCTTCGTCCTCCTTCTCGTCATCTAGCTCCGCGCCGGATGAAGCTATCTTCATATGATCCACAAACGAACGTGCATGAGTCGGCACCAGATGTAGCAGCTTCCCTGTCTGTAGGCACTGCGTCACCACCGCTCGTTGCATCCTCAAGCCCCGCTCCTTCTTGTCCTGCACCTTGGTGTCGTCGGAGGCTGTCGGAAGCAGCATCAAGTGCACCGCCGCCTTAACCACAGCCTTGTCCTCCCTCTGCTCCGTTGACTGCAGCAGCCAGGGCCATACAAAGCGCTGCAGCTTCTCGCGCGTTGACAGCGACTGCTCGTCCAGCTCCACCAGGAACTGGGCCATGACCAAAGGGGAAATCTCCGAGCCAGAAGTAACGGAGCTCAGCAGCTCCTCGCCTCGTAAATCCAGGCGCTTAGCGTAGTGCGCCGCCGCTCGGGGGGCCTCCCGTTCCTTCAAAATCACCCGCACGACGGTCGCACGGGCTTCCAGCGTGAGTCCGAGCGCGAGACTCTGCGCCGCATCCCACTCGCGACTGGAGCTTCCCTGCAGCAGTTTGTTGAGGTTATCAGGCGAGGAATTCACGGGCGCTGAGCGCGCCAGACGCTCCGCCTTGGACTTGCGCCGGCCTCGGCTCTTCCTGCGCTTCGGGGCGGCGGCGGACGGAGGGGCATCTTGGTCTTGGCGCTTCATTTTCGGACTGATTGGCGAGCGGTTGAAAATATGTGATTGGTTGTTGGGTGGCCAATCAGGAGTCGAGATCACTTCAACTTCACTGCAACTATTAGTTGAAGTGGTGAGGAGTCACGGACCACGTACGTAGGACCACATATGTAGGGCTCACAATGTATTGCGCACGTAGCGCAGTGACAAACCACAGTGGTAAGACAGCCGATGGCTCGTTTTGCGGCGCTCTCCTTCGATAGTCGACTGGGCGTTGATTTCTTTCGAGACGACGCACCCCTTCGCGCACAACATCTTTTCACTGTATCGTACTACGTAGCAGCTACTCCGATCTGGTTGCAGTTTGTTTGAGCACATTCCTGTCAAACCCACAGAGCAACAGTTAGCAGCCATGTCGGTGCTCGTATTAAAAAGCCCCCGACATAAGACGCGCGCGACGACAACACCTTCCAAGTCTGTTTCGCACAGGGTGTCGATATTTTTACGCGCGGCTGCAGGCAGACTGCAAGCCCTCCATGTATGATGTATGATGGCATACCTCCGTTTCAGGCTTTCTCTCCGTTATTTTTTGCGTAGCTAAACTTATCTCCTTCAATCGCTCACGATACAGATATATAGCTGCTGCTCTTCTCCATCGACCCAGCACAGACAACCCACCCGGGCAGCGCAGCGAATCGTTTGACGTTCGCCGCCTTCCACCAAGTAGCGAGGGCGCCGAGATTACCCCTGATCCAGGCTAGCGGCATCGACAAGTGCACTCATCTCTCTAGCTGCTTTGGGCCATGACGACCAGCTTAGGAGAGGCGAATGGCGCTCTGTCCCACCCAACTTCCGGGCCGACGCTAGAGACCATCAAACTCCCACGCGGGGGCGTAGTAGCTTGCACGTCTATCGGCCCCGTGCAGCTCGGAATGCCGCCCGAAACCATCAAGGATTCCATGAAGCTCGGTCTACCCGTACCACGGCACTACATAGTGCCTTCCGAGCCATTCACGAGGACGCTGGGCGCCAACATGGGCGTGAACGTTGCCGAGTTCGAGTTCCCGGCCTACTGCAACTTTTTCTTCAAGCGGCAGTGCGTGAACCTTATCGTGGCGTCGGCGGATGTCGAAACTCGCATTCGCCAGGTCTTCCAGGAGACGCTCTTTGGACCAGTGGAGCTCGATTTAAGCAATGACTTCCCTCAGTCCACGCCGCCTGAGCAGTTCCCTGATCTAAGAAAGGAGCTCGAGTACTTTCGAAAGTTTGGCGACACCCTCATCACTTTGGACATGCTCTTGACATTTACGCACTTTGACGAGAATGGAGAGGCGAGAATCTCGCAGCCTGGAGCAGCTAGTGACACCGCACCGCTCCTCATTCGCAAAGGGGATGGCTGCTTTACCATTGTCGACGGCACACTCGGAAGTGTGACTCTGGAGGACGCTGTCGAGTTGCCGCCGCCCCCTGCTAGTGTGACGACCCCGCATCTCGACTCCTTTTACCCTCCTGCTTTCGGCGTCACAGTGTTGGGCAATTCTCACGGCTTCGACCCGAACGGCAAAACGTCTGGCTACGTGCTGTGGATTAACCACCGCGGCATCATGATCGACCCACCTCCATTCTCGTCGTCGATTCTGAGTGCGAACAACATACCCGCGCTCATGATCGACGGGGTGATCCTCACTCACTGTCACGCCGACCACGACGCAGGCACCTTTCAGAAGATTCTGCAGGAAGGCCGCGTGGCTCTGATCACCACCGACACGATCTATCGCTCGTTCCTGCGCAAGTACTCGGCGCTCTCGGGCTTTGAACCGAGCTTCCTCGAGCGAGTACTGGACCACCGCCTCGTGCGCATCAACGACGTGACTCAGATCCGAGGTGCCGAGTTCCGATTCTTCTACTCGCTGCACTCCATCCCGTGCGTCGGCTTCGAGGTCACGTACGGAGACAAGAAGATCGCCTTCTCCGGTGACCACCTCAACGATGTGGAGAAGATCCTCCAGCTCGAAAGTGAGGGGGTTCTCTCCCCCTCCAGAGCGCAGGAACTGCTCAACTTCCCGTGGCATTGCGACGCCATTCTGCACGAAGCAGGGGTGCCACCGATTCACACGCCGCTCAAGACTCTCATGGCACTAGACGAGGACATTCGGAAAAAGGTCTATGTGGTACATACAGCAGCCAAAGACCTTCCTGATAACTGCGGCCTGCGCGGTGCCCCCGAGGGGGTGCACAACACCATAACTCTGGACGTGCCTCGACTACCAGAACATGCGGGGGCGCTGGAAATCCTAGATCTCGTACGGAAAGTCGACTTGTTTGCGGAGCTCACGCTGAACCACGCGTACGAGATCCTGCAGATGGCTCGCAAAGTCGAGTACGCCAAGGGCGAGATCGTGAGCAAGACGGGCAGCGTGGGCGACACCTTCTACATTATCATCGTCGGGGAGGCACAAGCAGTGCACAGCAAAGACTCGCATCACCAGGACGGGGCGCCCAACGCCGATCCGCCTTCCTTAGCTCACTCGCCGTCGCAAGAAAACATCGCTGTCCCCAAGCCACTAGCGCGCGGGCGCGATAGCTGCACCCGCCGTAGGTTATCGATGCTGTCGCTTGCCAAACAGTACCGGCCAGGCGACTACTTCGACCTCCAGTCGCTCTTGACCCCCAACTGGCTGCTGCCGTACGATATGATCGCGAGTACCAAGCTGTCGCTGCTCGAATTCAACGCGCTCGACTTCAACTGGTTCTTGCGGCGGACGTCCTCGTTCGAGCGCATCCAGCAACTGGCCCAGAGCCGGCTCTACTTCTCGTACGACATCGTGGAGAGCAACCAGGTCTTCCGACGCCTGACGCAGGCCCAGCGCACGGCACTGGAGATCATCCTGCGGCCACGCGACGTGACGGAGGGGCAGGTGCTCTGGAGCATTGGCAACAGGTGCTCCAGCGCCGTCATCGTCGACAAGGGACACTTCCTGCTGAAGATCGCCCCCTCTGCAGGCACCACGAACGGCCCGTCCCCCATCCGGAACGCGTCTAGCGCCGGACCCTCGCGATCAAGACCCAACTCCCCCGGCCAGACCCTATCGCTCATCGCTCGGAAATCCCTCAACGTACGTGCGCCCGCCCTTCCCTCCTCCACCCCCACCGACCTGCAATGTGTCTGCTACTAACGTTCTGTGCTCTGTCGGATGTGCAGCGCATAATCCCCATGGACCTGAGCCTCATGAGCAGCGCCGCAGCAGGCGGCAACAAGGCCGAGGCCCTGCAGGAAGTGATGCTCAGCCACGGCGGCTTCGCAGGCGACGTGGACCGACTCACGTGCACGGAGGACACGACCCACGCGACGTCGCTCGTGTGCACCCACGCCGGATCCGTGTTCGTCATCCAGAAGCACGACCTGCAGGTCTTCCTGCTCGAGAACCCGGGCCTGCTCCTGAGTCTCAGCGGCAAAGTGTTCGCCAGCTAGCTAGCTAAGTTGAAGTTCGTTCGACCACCGAAATCTGGTACCGATATAGTAATCTAAATCCTAATTCCTAAATCTGTATCACTTCTACGTAGTCGCTACCTTTACGTAAGAATACTTCACATGTAGCCATCTTACTGTACCGCATTAGCGGTACCCGATGCCAAGTGAATCAAAATAAGAGCGGTTAATTAGTCCCAAGCACCCCAACGAGCAACTTGCGCCAAGAAAAACGAAATCCCTATGTGAAGAGTGGCTCATGTTCCTGAAGTTGCAAGTTGGAACAACTTGGGCCACTGAAAATAATTACCATATATGAGTACTCATGATGTCGCCATTCTTCACTTGCACAACACAAGCAGGTCGCCGTCGCCCCGATCCGCTGCCCATGGAGCGCTCAAGCCGCCGCGACCGCTCGCGAGACCCCGAGGAGGACCCCAGCAGCGACGCGGGCACCAACACGCGCCGGCGCAGCCGCCGCTCGCGCGACACGCGCAGCTCCACGGCTGACTCCACGTCGGACGGCGCCGACACGGACGCCAGCACGGGTGCGTCCCACGCGACAGAGGCGGGGCCGCCGGCCCAGCGCCGCCCTGGCCGCCGCCGCGGCGCTGCAGCCCGCAAAACAGCGGAGGAGACGCGCAAGTCCACGCGCGAGCTGCGCAGCGCCGACGAGCGACACTCGTCGCGCTCCGGGGACGAAGAGGAGGACGAAGAGGAGGACGACAATGAGGACAACGAAGGACGCAACCGCTCGCTGTCCAACGTGTCCAACACGTCGTCCACCTCGGCGTCCTCGCTGGCCTCTGAGCCGCTCACGGAGGAGCAGCGCCGCGCCAGACTCGAGCAGCAGGTGGCCGAGCTCGAGCAGAAGAAGAAGATGGTGGAGGACGGCACGCTGGCCGAGTTCTGTCGCCGCGTCGCGGCCTTTAAGGAGGAGCGCAACCGCTTGCTGCAGACCGCTGAGCTGCACAAGAACCTGCAGCTCAAGAACGGACAGGACCTGTACAACTTCGAGGTGCAGCGCGCGCACCACCTGTGGGAGAACGAGAGGAAGGTGCTGAAGGAGGAGCTGCTCGCCAAGGTGGACACCGTCATGGACAAGCTGCAGGCGGAGATGAAGGCACTCTCGGAGCCGGGCGCGAAGGTTACGGATCTGATCAAGAAGCCCGAGCTGAAACCAGCAGCCGATGACGCAGACAAACCGACAGTAGCTGATGCTGTGGTGAAGGCGGACATGGAGGAGAACAAGAAAGCAGGCGAGCCCGAGCAGGAGGAGGGCGAAGTGTCGGAGCCACCTGCTACGATAAAGGAAGTGCCTATCGTCAAGCGGCGCAAAATGGACCCGACAGCGCCTACAGATCCAGTTGAGGTGTCGAAGCTTCTTCCGGTCGAAGCCGTGCGTTTGCCGTTCGACGACCTCACGTCGGATATTGCCACCATCGTGGGCGACCGCAAGCAGACTGCACAGACCACGGTGGAGCGCTTACCGAATGCTGGAAACTGTAAGATCTGCGTCGTCGCAGTGTCTGCATGATGCGGCGTGTATACTAAGTAAGATGTTCTGTGTTTGCTGTTGCAGTGCCCTTCAAGCTCGAGCGACGGAGGCTGTTTTGCGGCAAGTACGTGTTCGAAGACGGGGATGAAGTGCAGGTCTCGATGCCGCTCGTCCATGAAAACTACACAGGCACTATCTCGTCCATCACGGACGACGCGCTCTACATCAAGTTGGCATCAGGGCAGAAGGCGCGCATCCTTCTACCGCACCTTGAACGTCGCCGCTGCGAGATCAAGCCGTTGCTGCGTGGCACTTCGTCCACAGGGAGCCTGCACAGCATGGGCTGGTCCGAGTATGACACTTCCTACTAAGGTCACCCCACGTATCGTGCAGAGAATCGCACAGCATATTAGTAAATGTGCATGTACTACATTGGTCTTTTGGGTGCCGCCATCTAGGGCGACGGATTTCGTTATCTTCTTTTTGTCGTTACCCGTGAAGCTTCGATGTACACTACGGAGGAGCAGTTGTACGTCTTGGTGGCTTTTTGCACGACTGCTCTTGACTTGAGCTCGTCTACTTGGCGGTGCCAAGTACCAGCGATCACACCACTTCGGGATCTGCTAAATATTTATCTGCATCATCATGCACCATCTAATACTCGTGCGCCGACTGCAGCGCGCCCATACGCATATGCAACGCCACGTCCACGCTCAATGCTCCACAGTTTGGCTGCCTCCGCTTGACAGCATCTTGAGCAAGTCAGCGTTGCGACCGCGCGCGCCTTCACTCGAGCCGCGGTCTTCATCCATGTCACTATCACTATCCCCTTGGTACTCCGCAGTGTCTATCGAGTCCGATCGCTCGCCTCCCATTCGGCCGAGAGTGCCGATGACGCCGCTGCCGACGCCCACGACGAAGCGCTTGAAGCCCAGCGCCCCGCTGAGGGCCATCGCGAGCTGCTTCTTGGCCGAAGGCTTTCGCTGCTCGAAGGCCTCGTCGTCTGCGTCCTGGCTGTGCAGGTGCAACCTCCGGCGCTTGAGGTCTCTGCGCGCGTCCGCTCCTCCGGGCACCACCTTCTTGCGGAAGCGAATCTCAGGAGACTTGAGGTGCGACAGCGACACATAGCCACCGGAAGAGCTCACGGGCGGCACTGGACTGGCATCCGAGCCTTCATGCCTAGGCGGGAGCGCCGACGGCGCCGATCGCGGCGGTGGAGGCGGAGGGCGCGCATCCAAGTCGCTGCTGCTGCTGCTCGAGGCCGCAAACGACGGGTAGCTGCCATACGACGTTGGCATCGACGCACTGGTACTAGCCGACGCCAGCTCCTCGATGTCCGGACGCAGGAACATGGTGAACGCGGCACTCCACCGCAGCTCCGGGCGAGCGTCCACTGCCCTCAGGAACCGCTGGAGCCGCTCGCGCCGGTGGTGCAGCAGGCGCGGGTCGTCTCCGCGCAGATACGAGATCCAGCCTCCGTCCGGGAACTTGGGCAGCGCGTCGCGCAGCGCCGAGCCGTGTGTCTCCACCAGGTAGTTGTACAGATGGCGGAAGTCGGTGTACCGCCTCATGACGGTGTAGCGCACCATGGGCGGCAGCTCCGGGTACGCGGCGCTGCGCTCGTCCGCCGCCACCGTCTCTGGCGCCTCACTGACGCTGCTACTTCTCACGCTCAACGCGCGCGCCGAGGCGCCGGAGCTGCCGCTGCTGAAGCTGGACGCGCGCACGTCCAGCACCTCGATGTGGTACTGCCAACTGGTGTTCCGGCGGGTCACGCCCGTGATCTGCAGGTCGCGACTGGCCTCTCCAGCAGCCTGCAGGGATGCAGCGCTCGGCGGCGGCGGCGCGGGGGCTGCGCGCTCGCGTTTGGCGGCGTGGGCGGCGCTGGAAGCCATGACGAAGAGGACGAAGAGGTGTCTCGGGACAAGCGCTGCAGCTCGGCTCGTAGAGCGCGGAGAGAGATTCAAACCACTGCGATCGAGAGAGGAAGGACAGACGAAGCCGTTGGCAGGCGCAGACGGCGCGTCGCGGGTCTCTGCGAGCAATGAGGCGTGCTGCCGGAAGGTCGTCCGTTGCTTGAGTGCTGCTACTTGGTGCTCTGGTGGCTCCAGCTGCAGTGGGCATACAAAACCTCCGTAATCGTCGTTACTGCCTGGATACAGTACCGTACTAAGCACCATGCAATGACAACGTATGTCTTATAAGGGTTTATCCAATCCAATCATGCGATACTCTTCATTCTAGCCTCTGATTGGCATTCTTGATCTACCAGGCGAATCCTCTGGCAGCCCTCAATATGCCTCGTCGAGCTGCGTCGTCGTCGGCTTCCGGCGCCGCTAGCACCGCCCCCACAGCACGCGATCTCGCCGCGCAGATACTGGCGCAATCTCCGTCGAAAGAGGTAGCTGATCGTACCTTATTAGCATGCTAGATCGCTCTCTAACGCTGCGTATTTGCTCGCTATTGCTTGCTACTACTGGCTCAGTCGCTGGACGCAGTTGCGGTGCTCTACGAAGAGTTCCTGGGAGACGCCAGCAATGACGCAAACAATCTGAGCTGCCTCCAAGAGCTGGACGCGCTGCGCTTCCTTGAGGACGTGCTATGGCCGCTGGTTGACGTGGTGGCGTCCGCGCGCGACTGCCGGCACCACGTGAAGAAAGCCTGGACGGTGTCCGTGCTGCTGCTCGTGGGCTTCCGCGCGCGCGGAGGTGATGTAGGCAGCTCCTCGGGTACTACTGGTGCGTGGAGCTTCTTGATGGCGGAGGACGATGGGTCCTGGAAGACGTTCATGACCACGTTGTGGACGCTGCTGGACGAGGAGGACGACGACGCCAAGTGGACGCTCAAGGAGCAGACGGCGCTCACGCAGGTCCTCATCGCGTGCTTCCAGAGCCTCGACGTGCAGCAGGTGGCGTCCTCCGTGCTGCAGCTGACGTCGCTTCCGCTCTGGTCGGCGCTGTCGCCCGCCCAGAGAGCGCTCGAGTTCCAGACGTACCCCAAGCTGGAGCGACACTGGAACCGCATCATGTCGGAGAATTCCACCAAGGTGGAGGAGAAGGAAACGCCCAAGAAGAACAAACGACGCAAACTGGAGGCGACGGTAGAGACGGAGACTCCGCGACTCGAGCAGACGGCGTTTGTGCGTCGCCTTGACGCGTTCTTTCAGGTTGTGAAGGCGCCGGTGGATGACAGCATATCCAAGTACGAGATCACGCTCCGGTTACGCTTCGTGGCTCTGTTCCTGGCGTTGTTGATCGACCTCTTGAGCCAGCTGCCTACGCGCCGCTTCCTGTTGGTCGTCTTGCGGCGGAGGCATGTGCGAACGGTGCTTCGAGGCAGCGCCTTAGTCCAGCACGCGTCGCAGTGGCAAAGTGCTCACGAGAGGCAAGCTTTGGAGAAGCAGCTGGCACTTCTGGATGCATGCATGATTTTCCCGATTGATGCACACACGGGCACGTCGCTGTCTGCACGAGAGTACCGCGAGCACCAAGCGCGCCACATTCAAGCGCTGCAGCAGTGCGCATTCCAGTCGTTCAGGAACACGCGCGTGGAGGAACTGGCCATTGCACCGTGCAGTCACATCGCTGACGCGTCCAGTTTTACCGAAATGCTGAACGGTATCGTGACTGCTGATCGCTCGCGTCTTTCGTCGTTTGCTATCGCTGTTGGCGTTCTCGCCGACCAGGCTGAAGCCGAAGCGACTTCTGACACCGAATTGGTGGAGTTTTTCAAAGAGGAGTACTCAGTTGGAGCTAGCAGTGGTGCGCTCTCGTCGAGCGCGCCGGTGTTTCCTACAGAACTGGACATTTGGAACGAAATGCTCGACCGAAAGGAGGCAGCGCAGACGCCGGAGCAAGGAGATGATGTCACAGGAGAAATCTACGGCGCGAAGGATACTATCCTCTTCCCGGTTCTGCCTCTGCGCAAGTTGGGTCTGCAGTTCTTGAATCTGGACGATTATCTGCAACGAAACTATGAACTTCTCCGTTTGGAAGCGGCTCAGGATATTCGCGCGGACCTTGAGGTTGCCATCAAGCAGCTTGACGGCGTGCGCGCGCTACGGACAACAAGTGACAATGATACAATTTTCAGGGGGTTCTCTCGAGCTGCTGTGCCGGTTGCGAGTGCGCTTCAGATTGTCAAGGTGGGCAAGCCGGCGCTCGGCCAAACTGCCCCAGCTTCAGTCATTGCACATGTCGAAGCGGAGCTCTCGGGCCGGCATGATCGCAAGCACTTTGACTGCTACCAGACTAAAGAGGTGGTGTTTCTCGTAACAGTCAGAGCCACTGCTGACGAAGGCGCCGAGATGATGGGCTTTACGAAGCAAGCGCGGGATACTGGATCATTCCCTGAAAACTTTGGTGTGCAGTATGTGCGTGCAGCAGAGGTCATCGAGGTTTTCGATGCTGCCGGAAACGCTATCAATGACGAAAATCCTGTGGGGAAAGGAAGTAAGCGTCTGTTCAAGCTAGCGCTGGATGGCGTGCAGTACAAAAAGGACTTGGAAGCTGGCCAGCTCGAGGCGTACGAGCAGGTAAACGTGGTTGTACGACGGAAGCCGCGTGAGAACAACTTCAAGGCTATCCTGGATACGGTAACTGGAGCATGGCATGACGCCAACAAGGAAGAACTGCTACCTGCGTGGCTGCACGATCTCTTCTTGGGCTATGGCGACCCGGCGGCGGCACTGTACAAGTCAATTTACAAGGCCAGAGCTGAGAAACAGATTGTTGTACCGATGGGTCAACTGTTGCTGGATGGTGAACATGCAGTGGAAGCCGGCGGGGCTGAGAAGCTTGTGAATGCTGACGATGAAGCGCAGGTGTTAGACGCGAAGGATGCAGTGGCTCCGTTTACCTATGTGGAGGGCATTCGTGATGGTTCCAGCTATATCCGAGCGATTCTCAAGGAAGGATCTGCTGCATCTCCGGAAGGGGCTTCTCCTATCCGATTCACGAAGGCCCAGGTGGCAGCCGTGCGAAGTGGTGTCTGTGAAGGCCTCACACTAGTCGTGGGTCCACCGGGTACCGGCAAGACGGATGTGGCCGTGCAGCTCGTATTGAACTTGTACCGCACGACGCCAGCTCGCGAGAAAATCTTGATTGTTGCTCACTCGAACCAAGCTCTAAATGACTTCTTCGCGAAGATTCTGGCCCAAAATGTCATTCATGAGGCGGAGATTGTGCGAATGGGGCAGCCACAGCTTGTGAACGATGGCGGTGCAGAAAGTCAAGCACCTTTCCAAGGAGACTTCAGTCGCAATGGTCGTGTTGCGTTTTTGTTGGAGCGAAGAGCAGCCTTGCTTGCCGAGGTGGAGCAGATGGCCCAGTGGCTTATCAAGCGCGACGCTGCGCTTTACGCCGGACTTGCTGGTGGCTCGGCGTCGTATTCGTGCGAGAACGCGCTTATCTTTTACCAGTTCCACATGAAGGCGTTCCTTGAAGCAGCCCGCAACGCGACGGAGTTGCCGTCGAAGGATGACCATGTCGCAGCGCTTTCGGAGTTTTTCGCGTTGCGAAAAGGGTCGGCACCTGGCAAGATCGATGCGCTCCGCCAATTTGCATTCGACATCGAGTCGTACTTCTCAGAGCTGCGGCGCCTCCAGCCCTTTGAGTTGCTTCAAACCCCACGCCAGCGTGGCGATATGTATCTGATTCACCACGCTCGCATTGTTGCCATGACGTGTACTCATGCAGCGTTGAACCACACGAGGCTCACAGAACTTGGACTGACCTTCGGAAGCCTCATCATGGAGGAGGCAGCGCAGGTGAGCGAGCTGGACAGTCTGGTGCCGCTCCTTTTGGCGTGCTCCAAGAAATCCGGACCGACAGCGACTGAAAGTAAATCGTCGTCGGGTCTCAAGCGTGTCGTGCTCATGGGGGATGCGAAGCAGCTACCGCCGGTGGTTAAGTCTCTCGCGCTTAAGAATTACGCCCATTTCGACCAGAGCTTGTTCACGCGTCTGCTGCGCCTCGGTGTGCCGCACCTTGTCCTCGACCGTCAAGGCCGCAGTCGCCCTGAGTTAGCGGACATTTATCGGTGGCGCTACGATGATATCCCCTCGACTGGAGACAAGCAGACGTTGGGCGACTTGCCTCGCGTGGAGTCGAAAGCTGAATACCAGACTGGAAATGTCGGATTTGCGCACGTGGCGCAGTTTGTGGATCTCTCCGGGACGTCTAAGGAGCGCCAGCCAAAGCCCTTTGCCTTCGAAAACGAGGAGGAGGCCCGATTCATCGTCGCACTGTTCAAGTACATGATTGGGATCGGCTACCGTGCAGATCAAGTGACCATTCTCACGACCTACAACGCGCAGAAGGAGCTCCTGCTGCGGTTACTGCGCGCCGACGCCCCTGAAGACGCCAGGACGTGCCAGGTGTCGACTGTGGATCGCTTCCAAGGCCAGCAGAATGACTTTATCCTGCTGTCCACGGTGCGCAGCGGGACTTCTGTGGGCCACCTCCGGGACGTGCGTCGCGCTTCAACGGCCTTCTCACGCGCACGACTGGGTCTGTATGTGGTGGGCTGCCGCTCAACGCTGGAGCAGGCGCGGGAGCTGCAGCCGTTCCTGACCAAGTTAGTGGCGGTGGCGAAGGAAGGAGATGGTGAGAAGGCGACGAAGCTGGCGCTTGTGCCGTCAGGGCGAGTTGGCCAAACGGCCGGTAAAGCAAAGAAGTCGAAGGCGAAGAAGTCGAAGGACGTCGTGTACGTCTCCGACCGGACGCAGCTGGAGAAGGTGGTGGCGGGGCTGAAGGCTTAAGCTTAGATAGAGTTTCTAAATGGTACTGTTCCTATGCGAGCGCGTACATTTTCACAGGGTACAGCTCCTCGGGGAAGTGGCGTTGTCTACGCTCCGCGAGCAAGGTGAGCCCAGCCTGCTGGAAGATGCTCTTGTAGTACACGGCTGAGCGCGTGATGCTGCTATCTTGTCGGTCGAGGTCGTAGGGCTCTGCCGTCTGGAATACATTCTCCTTGATCACCATGAATCCGTTGTGCGTCAGGGCCTGCTTGCAGCGCTTCAAGTAGCGCACCAGGTCCACGTCCGTGAGATGCACCAGCACCCACTGCATCCAGATGAGGTCGTAGCTCGCAGGCGCCGGCTCGAAGTCCTGCAGCCCCATGCAGTAGAGGTCCCTCACGCGCGCGCGCAGCGTCTCGTCGGCGCCGAGATACTGCGGCACCCCGCGCAGCAGCCGCGGACTCTGCTCCACCAGGTCCACGTGCTCGAACATGGGCAGCAGCAGCAGCTTGCTCACTCGGCCGATGCCGGCGCCGCAGTCCGCCGCCGCGTGACAGATCCACTCGGGCCGCGCCGTGTCGCGCACGTGCTTGAGGAAGCGCTTGGACTCGCGGATGTCGACGCCCGACACGTGGGCGAAGCCTCCCAGCACCCCGTTGTCCGTCAGGGGGCAGTTGGCCTCGTCGTCCCAGTACTCGTGGGCGCTGGCGTACCACGTCAGCTCCTGCGTCTGCGGGGCGTCCGCGCTGGTCTCGGCCGCCGCTGCGAGCTCCGCCTCCTCCTGCTCGTCGACTCGGTTGGGCGCGTCGCCCAGCTCCGCCTGCCACATGGCGAACACGCTCCTGCAGTTGCAGTCAAGGTGAGAGCGTTAATTGATTCCATAGTAGTGTAGTGTATTGGTAGTGCGATGGACTAGTGGACGCACTCGTATTCCTCATGGGGCTCGATCTTGTCGGACGCGTCCAGCGCGCGCTGCACTTCGGTGGCGATGACGCGCAACTCCTTCCAGTCCACGCGCGAGCGGCTGCGGCGCGATCGATGCAGCAGCAAGGGGGCAGACTCGCTCTCGCTCTCGGCCTTGGTGGCGTCGGCTGCAGGAAGTGTCGCCATGGTGGCGGCGGAAGATGTGAATGAGAAACTGTATAATTCACTTGAATTGTACAGTTTTCACTTTTAGGGCTAGCTTTCTCAGTTTAGGGACATCTGACCACAAAAACTGAGAAATCACGTTACGCATGCAAAGTGAAGTTTTCCAAGCCCCAAAAGCTCTCCAAACTGCAAGCCCCTGGAATACATGTAGGCTGGATGGCTGTGCAGCAGAGGAAATGGTTCCGAAGAATCGGAACTCAACCGGCTAGTGTTGGCGGCAAAAACGACTGGGTCGAACAGTGAATTGGCTCTGTGCAGGTCGTGGATTGTTGTCCTGACCTCGGCTGTCTTCTCGGCGATCGGATGGGGTCGCAGCACCTTCAACCGATCAAGGCTCCGGAGTCCGGATACATGGACGAGTGCAAATGTACCAAGCTCTCTTGCTGCGAGCTTTAATCAAGCGCCATGGTTGAGCTCTTTATCATCATCATGAACAGTGAGCTGCCGTGATGCCCGTTGTTGATCTCTGGATCTGCTTGGCTGCACCACGTCCTCTACCCTCTCAGGCTGTTTGCCCCCTGTTGCACCGGTGTGCGTGATGTGCACTCTCACTTGCACAGTTAAGAGAGCCGTGCTTTGCTCTTCCTGGGCCTCTACCCATCGGTCACAGAGCGCGCCACCTGCCAGCGCCACTGACAGAGGAGGCGCAGAGACCCTCAAGTCAACAGGCAACTCGCTCGGTCTTGAAAACGATGGTTAACTGCCGCCGGCGACCGAATGCCAAGTACACCTTGGGCAGGAACAGGATGGTTCCTGCCCCTCCTCAACTGTCCGAGACAATTCGACTGCCCTCAACACCAGAGACTGCGATTAAAGGTGGAGACGATGGCAACGTGAACCGGAAGAGGACGATCCGCTTCATGGACGACGAAGCGCTCGACGCCACGGAGCTCAGCTCCGGATCGGTCTCACCGCCGCCCGAGCGTTCGACTTCAAGCTCGAGGTTCTCCTCCGCCAACACCGACATCCCGTTGCGCTTCCGCCGCTACGAGGGCAAATTCGAGAACCAACGAGGCCAATCGCTCTTCTACTTCGCGCTCTTCCCGCCCGAGAAGATGCCCATGCGCGGAGTCGTGCTGTACATCCACGGCAGCAGCAGCCACTGCCGCCGCCACATCGAGCTGTACAAGGAGCTCTGCAAAGCTGGCTTCGGCGTCATCTCGTACGACATGGTAAACCACGGCGCCAGTGACCTGGACGAGCACAAGACGCGCGCGCACATCAGCGACTTCCGGTATCTCGTCGACGACACCAACGCCTTCGTCACGTACGCCAAGCGCTCCATCTACACGGACGCGCTTCGGTACTGGCGGAAACACCACTACCCTCGACACCCGCACGGCGAGAGCGCCAGCATTGTTGCGCTGCCCGAGCCGCCGCTTATCATCGCTGGATCGTCTCTCGGGTCGCTGGTGGGCATCCACACTGTCCTCACTGCTCAACACAAATTCCACGCCGCTGTCTTGGCAGCGCCGACGATCGGCGTGACCTGGAACCCGCTGCTGTACGCTGAGTCGTTGCTACCCCTCGCCATGTTCATCCCAAAGGCGCGGATCGTGCCCGCTGTCAGCCACGACCTGTTCTGTCGGGACCCGGCGTTCCTTGAGGCGTTCAAGAACGACCCGTTGACTTGCACAGCAAAGATGACGGTACGAAGTGGGACGGAAGCACTGAACGCCATCAAGCGCCTTCAGAAGGACACGCGCGTGACGCAGCCCGACAGCGCGTTTTGTGCCATCCCGATGCTGTTCATCGCTGGGTCGAACGACGGCGTGTCCGATCAGCAGGCCGCCATCCGCTTCTTCGCATCGATCGGCAACCAGGACAAGGAGTTTAAGCTAATCGAGGGCGGATTCCACTTTGTGTTCGAGGATACTCAGAAGGAGGCTGCGATCGAGCACCTCTTGCAGTGGCTTCGAGCGAGGTTCCCACTTGAGACCCGCAACAGATAGTTAGGTAGTTTTGTACTTAGTGTATTTTGTTATCGCTGTGAATGAAGTAAGCGTGAATCGTTGATGGTCTTGCATCAAAGTGGCGACGAATACGATGCGCTTGGCCCATACATTCGTGAATGCTTTCACAGTCAGGTATGGAGCCGTTCAAGTTGATAAATTAGCACATTTTACACTCATACACTAACTACGCAGCGCGCACTCTAGAGCTCGACGATCTTGCCGGCGTAGAAGCCCGCAAACTCCTCTTTTGCTTGGTCCATCGAGGGGAGATCCGCCTCACCGCGCTCTGGGAGCGGTCCTAGACGCCCCAGGTGGCGCATTTCACGCTTGAACGCCCAGTTCGTGAACAGCACGTGGTGGCCAGCCACGAGCACCCCGCCTTGACGATCCTGGGTGCGGTATTTACGCGGCACTTCCACTGGCGGCTCGACGTATTCCTGCACCTTGTCCGACGTAGTTGAGACGATGGACGCCGAGAAGTCGATGATCTCGGCATTGCGGGGAGAAATGTCTTCGTCCGACGTGTCCTCGTCCGAGCTGTTGAGCGGCTCTTCGTCATCGTAGCGCAGATTCGCAGACGACTCGGCGATGTACTTTTGCAGCTCCTCCTTGTAGCTGTGCTCGTCGTACGAGTCCTTCTTGGCAGTCACGACGTCGACTTTGCTTTGGTGGGGTGTCAGACTCTTTAGCGTCCGCTGGATGAAGTTACTCTTGGCCTTCGTCGGCTCTGCAGCCTCCTGACGCTCGAAAACTTTTTCGAGCCAACCGTCATGCTCGGTAGTGGATTCCCGGGCTCCGATGTCGCTCGCTTTCACAGGCACAAGCACGAACGGCTTCACGTGGTCGGCGGTCGCAGTAAGCGGAGGCATCTTGTGCGGCGTTTGGTGCTGCTGGCTGAGCTGGACGTCGGGAATTCGAGAGTGAGGTCTGCATGGGTGACTCGAGTAACACGGGACGATGACGAGCTAGTGCAAAGCTCAACGGATGCCCCTGGTCCGTGGAGCCAAGTCAGATTACGCCGGCCCTGGTCTCCATTGGCTCAAGCAGCAACGTCGCCCCCGAAACCTGCACACGAGCATTGAAGCGCAGCAGATGAACACCCGCCATCTGGAGGATCAAGGCTATCCGTCTCCATAAGGGGACGCTCGTAAGGGCTCCAACTCCACAGCCGCCGTCGAGTGCTGGTGGAGTCTCCGGCAGTGGCGTCGGTCGTATCGCAGCAGAATATCCGACAACTCGACGCGCTCGCTTATCAATCTCTCAGCTACACGTTCATGTATCTAAGAGCTCGTTGCAGTGTTGGTTGGAGCCCTCCGAGAAGGTGATCGATCACTCACTCATTCACGCATCCTGCACCGCCTCCCCGACCCACTCCGCGCACACTTCATTGCAGGGATCCAAATATTCGAGCAAGCTTTACTCGCTTCGGTCGTTCCGCTCAGGAAATATTTTCGCCAGCAGGCTTGGCCAAGCGGATCCGCATCACGAAGCGCGTGGCCTCAGCGCCGACAGCGGCAGCGTGAGCCGAGGACCTCAGCAGGCAGGTGGCTTTTTCGCAGCCCGCGCCAGTTGCGTCGATAGCGGAGGAGGCATTGCGTGTGCGTGCGTGTCCACAATGGCCACCTCTGATGGCTTCTGAGCCCATGTGATAATACTCTCACGTGGCGACTAGCGCAGCTTAGCAATTGCCACAGCACCACCCGATCGGCCAGCCGCCGGACAACCACGGTCACTTAACTGAGTCCGGAATGGAAGTTGAAGTGGCCCCGGTACTTTGTCTGATACACAATGTTGTGTAAAGCACACAAAACTACGACCAAATCGTATGACGTACGATGGGCGCGTCTCCAATATGGGGCGCTACGGCACCTTCGACGGCGGTGACGGCTCCAGCACCGGCAGCGGGGCGCGCTGCCGCGTGCGTCGTCGCCCATCTTCTCCGCCTGCGTGCGGCGCGTCAGGCCATGCAAGTACCAGCTCCAGCGTGAACCATGCCGTCCCAGCAGCGAGCCGAACATGCCTCGTGGACGAAGCCTCGGCGTCGTGGCTGTCGCGCCTCGGGTTCATGTTCGTGGAGCCGCTCGTGGCGCTCGGGGGTGCGCGCTGTCTACGCCTGCAGGATCTGTGGACGCTCGAGCCGGAGAACACGGCGGAGCAGGCCGAGCAGCGCTTCCGCGCCGCCTACCGCGCGTCCGGGGGCCTGCTGCCGGCCATTTGGCATACGGAGAGACACGCCATCGTGTGCAGCGGCGGCCTGGGGCTGTGCTCGGCGCTGAGCGCGTGCTGCGTGCCCGTGCTACTGTTCAAGCTGCTGACGGCCGCCATGGACCCGCGCGCGCAGCACAAGTCGGTGCTGGAGCTGCTGCTGCTGCTCGTGGGCATCCACGTGGCCGTGATGCTGGCCGTGCTCTTCGACCGGCACGCGCGCTTCAGGATGTTCAAGGCGCAGCTGCGCGTGGTGGCGTGCATCCGCCTGCTGGTGTTCGCCAAGTCGGTGGAGCGGCCGGTCAAGGGCCGACACGGCACCAGCACCAGCATCGCGGCCATCGCCACGCTCTACTCGTCCAACCTGGTGCAGGTGAGCTGGCTGCTCATCCGCTTCCACGACATGTGGACGTCCAGCGTGCAGCTCGCCGTTCTGCTCTTCATCCTGCACCGCACGCTGCACACAAGCGCGGCGGTGATTCTGTCGTCGCTGGCCGTCATCATCGGCAGTCTGTCGGTGCTCACGGCGCTGTCGGCGCGGATGCTGCAGTGGTACACCAAGAAGCGGGCCAAGACGATCGCCGCCGTGAACGAGTGTTTCAAGGGCATCCAGTCCATCAAGCTGTACGCGTGGGAAGACAAGATCCTGTCCAAGATCATGTCCGCGCGTCGGAAGGAGGAGAAGCGCAAGTGGTGGGAGGCCTCCTTCCGCATGCTGCGCTACTGCTGCGTGTGGGAGGCGCCAGCGTTCGCGTCCGTGGCCATCTTCACGTCTCTAGCAGCGCGCGCGGGGTTCTTCTCGCCTGCCACCGTGTTCACGGCGCTGATTCTAATTGACCACGTCCAGGTCGAGCTGCACGGGCTGATAATGGGGATCCGCGTCATCATCGACGGTCGCGTTGGGCTGCGCAAGATTGACCACTATCTGCGCTACTGCGACACGTACGCCGACAGACTCGTGAGTGAAGCCGAAGTGGGAACCAACGCCAAGTCGTACCCCGAAGGTGTGGTCGCAGCCATGGATAAGGTGGATCTGTCCGTGGGGTATCACTTCCCCACAACGGTATTGGCGAATGTGAATCTGCGCGTGAAAGCTGGCGAGCTGGTCGTGATCCACGGCAAGGCAGGCGCTGGCAAGACGACTCTCCTGACTGCATTCCTGGGTGACGTTGGATGCGTGAAGGGCAGCGTGTACCTGTCGTCGAACTACAAGGTGGCGTATTGTTCAGAGCAACCGTGGCTACAGACACTCAGTATCAGGGAAAACGTGCTGTTCGGCTATGCGTATGATGATGCCAAGTACTATCGTGTGCTGGATGCGTGCTGCCTGCTGGAAGACCTTGAAAGCCTCCCGGACGGTGACGCCACGATGATCGGCCCGAAGGGCATCAACCTGTCGGGCGGGCAGAAAGCTCGCATAGCGCTCGCTCGAACGGTGTACTCCGATGCCGATGTGTACCTGCTTGACCGCCCGCTTGCGAGCGCCGACGCCATCGTGCAAAGTGACGTGTTTCGCAAATGCTTCCTGGAGTTACTGCGGTACAAAACTGTTATTGTAGCCACGCACAACCCAGAGGTGGTGGAATCTGGCTTTGTCGACCGATTATGGTACGTCAATGACTCGGTCGTATCGGAGACTTGTCGAAGAGAGCCCTCTTCTGGTGCAACGAGTCGGCGAGCTCGTCGCCTTGCCGATATCCCGCCCTGGCGCATCGGCCACGGTGACGAAAGCACCACCGACGACTACGCCCCTTTCGCGATGGATGAAGAGGAAAAGGAGCATGTGCGGAGACGGATTTCTCGCCCCCGAGCCGCACCCAAGGTGTCTATAATGCCCAAGATTGACTTAACGCGCCGCACAATGGATGGAGTTGCCAAGGAGATTTGGTGGCCGACTCATGGACGGAACTCCACCATCATCACTTGCGTCCTCTTCGTCGTGTACGGTCTGGTCGATGTGGCGAAGAACTTGTGGTTAGTGCACTGGAGCAATATGACCTGGACGTATGCCGATATGTGGAAGGCGATGGTGGTCTACGCCATGCTGAGTGTCGGCTCCTTCGTAGTACTGCTGGTGAGCTGCGCGGTGATATACTACGCGCTTTCCAGACGCGCCAAGCACATCTTCAGTGAAGTGACGCAATCTCTGCTCCGCGCGCCCATGTCTGTGCTGTACCAAACTCCGATCGGTGAAATCCTGGCGCGTTACTCGACCGACATGCAAGTCATCGACGGCTTGATGTCTTTCCCCCTGATATTTATGTTCCGAAGTACTGTGTCCATTGCGGCTGCACTGGGGACAATGTGCTACCTACTTGGTTTGACTGGCGCGATTTTCGCGGCGCTGACTGTGTACTTGTGCCGAGGAATGGTGGATAAGCGTCTATTTGCCCAAGTTTACTCGCTGAGAGCTGAACTGGAAGCTGCGGACCTGAACTTTGTGTCGGAAATGCTGGATGGGGCCGCTGTGATTCGTTCGTTCGGAGCTGAGCAAGTCAACCGTGTCTGCCTACACCATGGCAAGATGGTGGACGACAGATCCCGGATCGCTACGGTCGTGGAGGTGTTTACGCATTGGCTGTACATTCGGTGCAGCCTTCTCGTCGCAGTGTTCCTGTTCTGCTTAGCGCTTCTCCTCGCGCACGGGGGTCTACAAGCAAGTACGCTGGGGCTCATGCTGCATTGTATATACAGCGTCCAGCGTGACTTTGTATCGTTCTCAGTGGGCATTTTGAACAGCTCCGTGAACATGTTCAGCATCGCCAACTTGAAGAAGTTTCAGCACATCCCACCTGAAGAGGGTGCCGACCGAAAAGGTTTGCAACGGCGTCTAGGAGCGCCGCTACAATGGCCTACCACTGGTGCAGTAGAATTCGACCACGTGTTCTTCCGGTACGAGACGGAGCAGGACGACGACGACTTGTCAACTTGTGCGCTGAAAGACGTCTCATTCTCAATTTCAGGCGGAGAAAAGATCGGTGTCGTGGGGAGAACGGGGTCGGGCAAGAGCTCCCTCGCTATGGCGATGCTACAGATGCACAGCTTGCCGCGTGGTCGCATTCTGATCGATGGCGCTGACATCAGCCGACTTCATCTGCGCGACCTTCGTAGCCGCATCTGTATCATCCCTCAGACGCCATTGTTCTACCGTTGCTCCATTCGCCGCTATTTGGACCCGTTCAAGGAGTTCGATGACGATGCGTTGTGGGACGTGCTCGTTAAGACTGGGCTCTGTGATACACCCGGACCGACTACCGCCATCGACGAAGAAGTACCTAACGAGGTTTACACTGCGGAGTCCTCTAGCCGAGTGGTGGTGACGACGTTGGACATAAAGTTGGCCGAGAACGGAGAAAACTGGAGCATGGGCGAACGGCAGATGCTGGTGTTAGCGCGCTCGTTGTTGAAGCCTGCGCGCGTACTTATCCTGGACGAGGCGTTCTCTTCAGTCGACCAAGAGTGCGACAAGAGGCTGCTGGAGGTCATCGAGAAGGAATTCGCGAGCTCAACCATTTTCCTCATCACCCATCGGTTGGACCAGGTCCTCGGCTTCGACCGCATCATCGTCATGCAGGATGGGGCCGTCGCCGAGTGCGGAGCCGCTGAGGACCTCGTCACGGACCCTGATAGCGCGTTCTACGAGTTTTTGGAGACCACGTTGCTTACATATTGAGGTAGGCATACACTGTAGATGCTGGATACTTAAGCAAGGTTTTTGATAGACGGTTTTGATTTATTTCTTCACTTTTCAACATCTACAATTCCGTTCGCTCAGCCTTCACGTAGTTGTAAGACCGCACCGACGGCTCCAGCTTCTTGACTGCGTTGATATGAGACTCGTTCGGGTGCCGGGTCTCGAGCGGGAACCTCTTGTGCAGCCAGTTGACCATGTACTTGAGCACCTCCTCCTTCTCAGGCTCCTCGTAGATCATGTGGTAGAGGCCGTCAAAGAGCTTGAACTCCTTGTCGAAGCTCCCCACTCGGGCGTAGAACCTCATGGACGCCTGCTGGTCGGACACGCGGTCGTCGGATCCGGCCATGAACAGCATCGGGATGTGGCAGAAGCGACTATCCGGGTCTGCGACTCTCGTGTCATCCTGAAGCCGCATCATGGCGGTGAGAGATTGGTGGCCACTGCGCGGTGTCATCATGTTACTGCTGGTCAATGGGTCCTCTTGGAATCTCTTCAGGAACTCGGGGTCTCGACTCCGCAGGTTGTGCTGGACGGCAGGGATCACCTTCGCCGTCGGGAAGGCTGCGACCAGGGCGCGCTGCACCTTCCACTGTGCCCACAGCACTGGAGTCCACGTCACGCCAATGGACGGCGAGGCCCACACCGCGGCGTGGAACTTGTGTACGCCCGAAAGCACCGTGTGAAGACCGATGAGCGCTCCATACGAAGTGCCCGAGATGATCAGCGGCAGTTCCGGCGGTGCGTCTCGCTTCTTCCCCCTTCCGTGCGGGTGGCGAGGCTTGAGGTGCTTCCGCCAATACCGAAGCGCGACCTTGTAGATGTTGGCCTTGGCGAACGTGACAAAGTCGTTCGTGTCGTCCACGAAGTCGTCGAAGTTGCTGATGTGCGCGCGTGTGTTGAACTCGTCGTAGTCGCTCGCGCCGTGGTTCAGCAGGTCGTACGTGATCACGCCGAAGCCTTCCTTGCAGTAGCGTTCGTAGAGCGTCGTGTTGCGGCGGCAGTGGTCGCCCATGCCGTGCAGATACAAAATGATACCCCGCAGCGCCTTCTTCTCCGGCGGGAACAGCGAGAAGTACAAGAGCGACTGGCCCCGACGGTTCTCGAACTTGCCTTCGAAGTGGCGAGGACGCGCAGACTTCTTCGTTCTCCTACTGACATTGGTCGACGCCGAAGAGCCTGAGCCTGAATCTGACAGCGATCTCGGTCGGACATCCTCGTCACTGGACACGGGGGCTTCCTTCGGCCCTTTAGATCCGTCCGACAATGCGCGTTCGCGGGTGATTGAGGAGTCTTCATCCTCCGACGGGAATCGACGACCGCCACCGTGACCTCGCTGCTTGGATGCTGCCGCGGACGACGATTTCGCGCGTGCGGCTCTTCTAGCTGAGCGCAGCGGGGGGATCGCGTCTCGCCGCCGCGCCGAACGCTGTACATCGAGCGATTGATCGTCCGAGGACGAGGAAGGCGAGAGCGAGAGTTGATCCAACGAGTCGCTGGACTTGGATCGAGGCATGCGAGAGTTTGGGCTCGAGGCGGGTCGCGTTCCAACCACCCGCGGCTTCCGCGCGGTTTCAGGGACAGGACCGGAAGCGAGCAGGTCTTCAAAGCAAGGCACGGGGCGCGACCGCAGCGACTGCGCGACCTTCGGCTTGGTTGGCTTGGGCTTGATGGCATCTTTCGCTGCCGCCTCGGCCAGCAGCGAATCGTCAAAGCACGAAATCGGGCGTGACCGGACGGAAACAGCTTTCGTGGGCTGCTTGGGGGGTGACTGCGGAGCGGTCGTCGAGTTGCCTTCGTTCATGCACGGAACGGGGCGCTGGCGTACCGAGCGCGCCTTCATCTCCTTCGCCCTCGCTGCCTTCAGCGCTGAGACTCCTGTCATGGGGGCATCAATAATGCACGGATTGGGACGCGCGCGAGCGGACTGAGCCCTCGCAACGCGCTTCAGTGCCTGTGCTGTGAAAGGGTCTTCGCCCACCTCCTCGAATTTGGCGACGGAGCGCGACCGAGCCTCACGTTGTGGCCTACTCTCCTCCCTGTAGCTTGGAGCTGGAGCAGTTGATAGGGAACGAGTCACGCGTGGCTGGTCCGGGTTCGATTCGCAGCTAGATATCGACGTTGTCGGCGACGTCGAGCAACTCGACGGGGGGCTGACGGCGACGGGAGTCTCTGCCGACATATTGTCGAGACTCGCGCGCTCCCGCTCCTCCTGAATGGCCGACATGGCGAGCGCATTGCGGCTCTGGACGCGCCGAATGGGAAGTCCGATCGCTCCTCGGGCGTTTGTCATCGTTTTCGGAAATGGCGAGTCCCGGAGGTTCGACCATTTGGTTCACCGAGAGCAGAGCTCGGAGGAAGGAGAGAGAGACCATTGCCGGCGTACCGTACCAGCGGACGGACGATCGCACTTGGCTGGCTTTCGTTCCGACTTGAAGAAAGCCGGACGCTGGCGTCGAAATGGGGAGCGCCGGCCGAGATGGTGTGTCTGTTCGAGCCAACACAACCGATCTCGAGATTTGGCCCGAGGTGGCAGAGCGGGGCCAAGCAGTATTTCAGCGCCGCAATCCCCCGCAAAATTCTCAGGCGAGCGCTCGATTGATCGCTTGATGCTGGCGAGGAAGAGCACTGTCCAGCCCAGAGGTTTTCCTAGAAGTCCGAACCTCACGACACATGAGTGCACGTCCATTGACTCGACTTTACTAGAAAAAACATGCATGCACATGGATAACCAAGTTTCCACTACGCTGCCTAATAGCTGGATACGGGCATGTACAGTGCACCTTCCTGTAACTTCTCAAACGTTTTGACTCGAAACCTTGAGCTATTAATAGTGGGCCACCACTGGTGGCACCGGTGGTGGTGCCTCCTGGCGGAGACCTTGAAGCGATTAACAGGATACGGACATCGTCGCATTGCAGGCGTTCTTCCCGAGCAGTCACATCACCCCACCGCGGTGACGGTCGTGAAGGGAAGCTCTGCTCTCCACGAAAAGCAGGGTCTGGTTGTTGCAGCCAAAAGAGATTCACACCGGGACCGCCACCAACTGCGGCTCTCGACGCTGCTGCTGGTGACCTGACCAATTCCCCACTTTAGCGTGGTTGAACCTCGACTGACGAATTTTTTGGCAAGGCTTTCCAACTGTAACTCTCAGCGACTTCAGGCTGCTTGATGCACAAAGCACGTGTTGGAGGGATCACGCAACGCCAGTGGCAATCAAAGTCAGCTTTCGAATTCGAGGACTCTTGAGCTTCTTGTACGTATTGACTAAGCGGCTACTCTTCATCCAATTCATCTTTGAACAGTTCGATTGAGGAACCAGTTTCTCGGTATTAAAATATTTTCTACGCTACTTCTTACTACACGACGATGCCGATCTACTGAGGAAACCTCCGGTGCAGCCACTGCGCGAGGTACCTGAAGACGTTCTCCTTCTCAGGCTCCTCGTAGACCAGGTGAAACAGCCCGTCGAACAGCTTGAACTCCTTGTCGAAGTTCCCCATCGTGGCGAAGAATTTGATGGCAGCCTGCTGATCGGAGATGCCGTCGGCTGAGCCCGCCAGGAAGAGCGTCGGGACGGCGCAGAAGGCGCTGTTGGGGTCTGTCACGCGCGCGTCCTCCTGGAGCTGGATCATGGCCTGGAGTGACTCGTGTCCGGTGCGCGTCGTCATCATGTCCATGGAGGTGAGCGGGTCTGCCTCAAACCGCCTCAAGAAGTTCGGGTCGCGGCACAGCAGCTCGTGCTGCACGGCAGGCACCACCTTCGCCGTCGGGATGATGGCCGCCAGCGGCTTGGCCAGCTTGGACTCGGCCCAGAGCAGCGGGTTCCACGTGACACCAATGGTGGGCGAGCCCCAGACAGCAGCGCGGAACTTGTGTTTGCCCGACAGCACCGTATGGATCCCGACCAAAGAGCCGAACGAAGTGCCGGCGATGATCAGCGGCGGCTCCGGCAGTCCATTGTGCTTCCTCCAGCTCCGGGTCGCGTCCGGGTAGATCGAGCGTTTGGCGAATTTGATGAAGTCATTCGTGTCCTCCACGAGGTGGCTGAAGCTGCTGATGTGCGCGCGCGTCTTGTGCTGGTCCAGGTCGCTCACGCCGTGGTTGAGCAGGTCGTACGTTATCACACCGAAGCCTTCTCTGCACAACCGCTCGTACAGCGCAACGTTGCGGCGGCAGTGATCGCCGATACCGTGCAGACACACCACGACTCCGCGCATGGCCATCTTCTCAGGCGGGAAGAGTGAGAAGTAAAACAGCGTCTGTCCTCGTCGGTTGGAGAACCTGCCCTCATAGTGACGAAGCCGCAGTGGGGTGCGCGAACCACTACCGGTAGGTCGAGATGAGGGTGGTGGTGCGGACGCAAGTGAAGACAAGCTGGACGCCGACGCGGAGCGGGGCATCGAGCTGTCACTGCTCGGAGAGTTGGGCTTTGGGAGAAGCGAAGTGGATCGGAAGGCTCGCGAGCGGCGAGACGGCTCCTGGCGGGGCTGGTCCTTGTTGGACGGAGCCAGCAGCTTCGGGTTCATGGTCTTGGACTCGCGGCACGACACGACCTGCCTCCGTGGATCGATTTGGCTCTGAGAGACTGGCTTCGGGTAGGACGTCGAGCGCGCGCGGGGCGGGGGACTCACGTCCCGGAACGCGCGTAGTCGGCGCTTCTCCATCTCTTCGCTCTCCGACAACGACGCTGATGTGGCCGATGACTTCGCGCGGCTGGCACGCGTAGGGTCATTGCTTCGAGACTGCATCCGACGGTGCAAGCGTTCCTGGTCCGAGTGATACGCCGAAGCAGCATTTGCCTTCGAACGGGACGCGTCACGCGGACTGGACGAAGAAGTGCGTTCGTGTTGTGTAGTGCTTCTGTGGTGGTCCCTCGACGAGGAGGAAGAAGGTGTCCTTGAGGACGGCCTAGGGCGCATTGTTTTCTCTCCGGAACGTGCCGGCACTGTCGGGTCGTGGCGGCTTGACGCCCGGTGGCGCTCGTACGCGCCCTCTTCCATCCTGTTGCGTGGTGTCAATTCGTCTGACGAACTGGTCGGCGAATTGGTAGCGGATCGATGCGTCGAGTGGTGGCGGTGCGTGCGCTCGCGTTCACGATCGCGCTCACGCTCTCGCTGTGTCGGCGCGGACGGAGGGATGGAAGAAGCCTTGGGACGTGACGAGGAAGAGCTGGCGTGTCGGCGAGTTGGCCTCCTATGCTGATCGCGCGCTTCGTCCTCTGACTCGGACGAGACCGAGTGTGAAGGCTTAGAGCGCGGCACTCGCTCCGGGTTCGTTGAGGACGCGCGGTGAGACGACCGCATGTGGCGGTAGTAGTCCTGTTCGTGTCTGCTAGCCGACGACAAGTGTCGGCTGGAGCGAGACTCAGCTTGCTGCGGTTCATACCCGTCATCCGAGCACGTGGGGGCGGTGGACGCCGAGCTGGAGGCTGACCTGGACTGCTGCAACTCCGACTGCGACTTGGACACTGGAGACTCGGGTCTCGAACCTGTGTAGGTGGGGCGCTGCTGTTGTTGTTGCTGCTGCTCGAGGTCTCTGCTGTCGCTGGGTCTGATGTCGTCCGGGTGCTTCTCCTGGTCTTTGAGGCGCGACTCGCGCATGCTCGAGGGCTCCTCCATGATGACCGACATGGCCAGCGCCTCTCGCGCGCGGACGCTGTTGGTCTTGGCGTGCATGCGCTGCATCCGACTGTTGCTGCCGCTGCCGCTGCTCGAGAGATTCCGACAGCTAGGCATCGTTTTTGACAATGCGGAGCCAGAGCTTCGCGGCTATGATGAGCTGAGAAACAGTGAAGCGAGCGCCTGATCGAGACGCTCGTGGCTGGCCGTCCGAGCCGCCACGCCGAAACCAGGAAGCACAGGAACCAGAGCCAGAGACTGTAGCCGGAGGCTCCATGGACCGGCCGGACTAGCCCCGTGACTGAGTTTCGCAGTGAGTCACGGCGGACAATCCGCTCTCGTGCTCGCGATGCGGTTCTGCAGCAGCACCTGGTCGGCCATAGCCCCCGCTGCAGTCGCAGCTTTGTCGTCTCTCGATGATCGGCGAGCCGAGCCATGGCTGAATGTGACAGACAATGGCGGCGGAGCTGAGACTCAAAGCCGCCGCTCACCTGCGCTTGGGCGAGGTGAAGCTGTGATCCGAGATTTCTGCGCTGAAGCCGGCGTCGAGCACGCCGCTCGAAGCTGTCGCATCGACGCCCAGGAAGCGCTCATTGCCCGCTTCACTGGCCGCGAGAGGGTGTCGCCGCGGCAGCATCAGCAAATCTCAAGCTGCGGGTGCGTGCCTGCCGGTTGTCCAGTTTTGAGACCGGGTTGAAATCAAACACGTTCGGGACACTTATGGGGCACGATCAAACACAAAAAGACTTGGTCAAAAGACTGCGTAATTGTCGAAAATCAAAACACTATTCGGACCGAATCAAAACAAGTTTGATGGGCGTGTGGTCCACTGTATATTAGGCTTCTCCTAAAATACAGTGATCACACATTAAAATGAAAGGCCACTTGCGCAGCAGTCGAGAAGAGCAGACGAGACTATAAGTTGTCCACCGCTGTCCGCCAACTGCGCTACAAGAACGCTGAAAGACACGAGACGCGCGACGAGAGAACTATGTGGGAAATCGTCGCTTCCGGGCAGAACAGTGAAAGCTACGTAAAAGAGCGACTCGAGAGAATGTGCTGCTCCAGTGCCTACGTCAAGCGTGTTAAGGAGACGTGCCAAATCTGCCCAGGTGACCACGAAATGGATGAGAGACGCATACGGTGCTCAAGTGTTACATGCATCGCGTTAGCCGTGCCCAAGGGAAACAAGAAGCCATGTGCGTGAAAGTATGGAAGGTGTGGCCGTGCCCAAGCACAAATGCATGGAGAGTCCTTGGTACAGCAGTTGAGCATACTCTTGGAAGTGCTGGATGCGGTGAGGTGCATCGTGCGGTGATCACCCCTGCAATGCGAACGTACATCGGAGACATGGATGAAACTGGTTTGGCGCCGCGGCACATTTGGTCAGGGCTGCGTCGCTACAGCGAAGCTCCGCCGCTGAACGGGGTGCCTACGTATGAACAGGTCGCTCGATGCGTCAAAAGCTTGCGAGCGAAGCATGGAGAGCGAAACACGGTTCAATCGCTGCAGAAATTGGTGCGCGAGTTCCCCTTACACTCTGGAATAGATGCAGACAAAGCGTTCATGTTTGGAGCCACTCTGGATGACGATGGGTTTCCTCGTATCGGGAAGGGTGAAGACGACGATGCTTTGGTGTTGGGTGTGTCGACGGTGGGCCTGCTGAAGAAGTTGAGAAGCTTCCAAGAGTCGAATATTTTGCTTTGTTTCATCTCGATGCTACATTCAAGCTCAGCGAGATCGGTTACTCGGTCATTACGTGTGGATTTAGCGACTACTTCAGAAAGTATCACCTGGCGGCTGTATTTGTCGTTAGCCGCTTGACTCACGTAGAGTACTCCTCAGTTCTTGCGGCCGTGTTGCAAGTATACCACAAGTTGTTCTCCCAGTATCCCAAGATCGATGCGGTTCTTGGCGATGCAGAAGATGCCCAGTACAATGCACTGCAGAGCTCACCTCAATTCCGAGGTGCCACATTTTTAATGTGCTTCTTTCATGTACTTTACAACGTGAGAAAGCGAACACGCCAGCTTGATGATGCTGCCGGTGCTATGGTTTACAAGGGCATTATTGCGATGCACTTTTCAGTGAGCCTTATGGAGTTCTATCAAATTCGTGATACGATTCGGGCACAATGGCGAAAAGTCCGAGTTCTCCATGATTTTGCAAATTACTTCGACAAACAGTGGATTCAAAGTCGTTACTGGCGTTGGCAAGCCTTTCACACCCCCACTGGCTACGCTACAACGAATAACCCGTGTGAAACGTTCAATGCTAGTGTCGAACGACATTTGATGCGGAAGATGTTCAACACCCACGGCTGCTTCGAAAACTTTCAGTGATATGTGAAGATGTGACGGCAGATAATTTCAAACCTGCCGCGTCGATTGGAAACCCATCTTCGACACTAGTGAACACGGCCCGAAAATTAGTCCATGCTCAGCAGTTAGTGCTGTACGAGACGGGCGAGGCGCGTATTGTGAGAATTGTTCAATTGAGCTCCTTCAACAATGAGTCGAAGCGTTTGGCAGAAGCTTCCAATCAGGCTTTTGTGCGGCTTATCACGAGCAAGACAACAGGTCAGTTGTACGAGAGGCTTGGACGACGGCAACGGCGCAAGGCTTCCGCTATGCACAATCACGCAATGAAGTGGTCACTGTATATGGCTCATCGAATGAGATGCCAGCAGAAGGGTGGACTGTGGACATTACCAAGGGCACATGTGAATGTCGGTATTTCGCGAAAATGGGACATTGCTGTCACGTACTTGGCGCACAGATGCTAAGAGGCGATAGACGGTATTCGGGTGGGCGGTGCTGTGACCGGCTTAAGGACCGTCGAGTACGCAAGAAGCAGCGAGGCCAAACCGAGGAAGGTCGTACAACCGTGGAAGTTCCTATTGCAACACAGCCGACACTACCGCCATCAACTGTGACTCCAAGTGAGACTGCATCTGACAACTTCACATGTACCGACTCGGCCACTGTGCTCCCACAGTTTCCGTTCAACGCGCAGCAGACCTACTTTCAAGGGCCAACAGTCGTCCAGCAAACCGAAAGTCCCCAACTGCCTACGATCTTCAACGCGACCAATTGGGGGATTTCCCACATCTGGGGGGCTTCACGAATGCTCGCGTCCAACACGGCCCACGCCACGCCATTTGGGCAAGGCATTGATTGGCAGCCAAACCGATCAGGCCGTCCTCCTATGGCAAGAAGCGCACTAGAGATCCAATACCATTTTTAATGAGTCAAAATATCAGGATGTATTTTGAAGCTTTACTCTATCGCTCCAATTTACAATTCTTTCACCAGCACTTAAACGTACCTAGCTAGGTTTCTAACGTTCTAAGAAACAATATGGCCATGTCTTGAGCTTTTAAATATACAAAGATAATATACCGATCTTGAAGAGGTGAATTTTACAAAAAGACCTTCAACATTCTTCTACACCGCGTATTGGTGCTTTCCCGCTTGGTGAGTACTATTCACTGCCTCACACCTTTCTAGCGGTAATTCAATATAAAACGGATGCAAATTATTAATCATATCGCCTGCAGCTTAGCTGGAGAACCTATTATTTTTAGTTTGCAGTATGAATGGATGACACTGCCAGTATGGATCGCTGAAGCTGACATTATGGATCGCTAACACTGACGCTGAAGTAACAATCGACACCTACGCCTGCCCGTCCCTTGGTCTGTGCCAGTCCTGAGCCGTGTACTTTAGCTCGGTGTCTGGTGGCTAAGGTGGCGACCACAATCTAATCAACACACGCAGATACGCAATTGGGTTGACCGCCTCGTTCCTCGTACAGACTCTGGGTCAGTTGGGATCGCCGGAGGTGTTTAGCGCTGACCCGACTTCCTGCCTCGGTGATCTCACTTGCTCTCTCTCTGTCACCTCTTGGGGCTGCTAATTACCTCTGGGCGGCGACAGAAGTCTGGAACCGGGCTGCAATACCGGGGTTGCAACGCCGTGAGGCTGCAATACTCACTGTTCCTCCGGAGCCACCACCGACACGTAAGCGTCAATGCTCGCTCTGGTACGTATAACTACAGTCGTGTTGCAATCGCGTGCACCAGGCCGGTGTCGCGACTTACGCTCTCGTACTTCGTTTTCTCTGGCTCAAGGGAGAAGGCGAAGTCTGCCCTCTCCTACACATGCATCTTGGTCTGCGGCTCTTGCCGTCCTCGTCGTCCTTGTACTGATCGCTATCGTCGCTGTACTTACCGCTTGTCGTCCTCGCTGCGCTCATCGCTCCTGTCGTCCTCGCAGCACTCGCTGTTCTTGTCCTCGCCGCCGTCAGCATGCCGGCCAATTGTAAATCCAGTTGTAACTCTGACAATGACAGTATGGATCGCTAACACTGACAGTATGGATCGCTGACACTGACAATATGGATCGCTGACATTGCCAGTATGGATAGCTAACACTGACAGTTTGGATCGCTGACACTGACATTTTGGATCGCTGACACTGACAGTATATATCGCTGACAATACTGAGCAGTAACAATAAGAATACAAGTAAGTCATCAGCAAACTAAATTTCAGTGAATTTAAAACGCAGTCACTGTATTGCAGAGGTTTTCTTCTATTCTCTTTACTCTTCGTCATCACTGCTGTCCTCCTTTCCACTGCTGTCCTCTTCTTCACTGCTCTGCTCCTCCTCGCTGCTTTCGTCGTCATCACTACTGACTTCATCCTCGATGTCGCTCTCAGCTTCGGCCTCGTCGCTGCTTGCCACGCGACCGTCACCGTCAACAGCCTCACTGTCGTCCTCCAGATCGCCGTCTTCACGCGCGTCGAGATCCCCGTGAACGGTTCGTTTCGGCTTCTTTGGGTGGCGTCGGTGGTTGTGCTGATGGTATGCACTTCGTTTCTTGTATGGAATATCACAAATACTGGAATACCCACCTTGGTCGTCCGCCTTCTCCCTTTTTCCTTTGTCTTCTCTCTGTCGGGGTTGTTCTTACAGAAGCGGCGGTGGTTGCTAAGATGACGGCGAGAATCACATTGCATATTGCAGAACTCACACATGTACGTGTTGAACACTGACGCTTCTGTAGCATCCGCCTTCTGCTTGATCCCGCGGACTCGCACGTAGCAATGCAGCCTAATGTTCTCCTTCTTGAACTCAGCACCAGCATGCACTAGGTCGCCACGGAAAAGCAGGAAATCGCCCGCATCAAGCGTCACGGCAGTGCATTTGTCACGGTCCACGTAGGCGCCAAAACACCCAGGATAGATGTAAAAGTAGGTGTTCGGCATCAGCGATATTATCACTGACGCCTGCACCACACCTTTCTCTAAAAGAGCCTTGCTAGTCTCAAAGGAGGGGAAGTCTCGGTGAAGACCTTGTCGTAGACCACCGGGAAGTGACTTAAGAGCCGCCCACAACTTGCGCTTCGTATACCACTCATCCTCCGACTCTTTCACAATTCGTTTGATGCACTTGTAAATTTTCTCGATGGCGGGGCCAAAGACCGTGAGACCTGCTTGGAGCCGCTTGGAGTCGCGCTCCAACTCGTACACATCACCGAAGATTGGTCGGAACTCTAGGGCTTTCAACTCAGCAAGAGCGGACTTCAAAGTAGCAGCAGACAAATGTAGGTTGCCAATCAAGTAGCCGTCGTTCCAAAAGTTTGCCTTGAGTATTGGGTCCATATTCTCTTCTAGCGGTGGCTACAGTGCTGTGTTTCGACTTGCTGCTGTAGGCAGTGCTGCTCCGGTAGGTGGCAGCGGCGGCGCTGCACCCGGGCTCTCTTCTACTTGCTGCTGCTGGCGTTCTTCGGATAGACGGTAGTGCCGAGCTTCTCTCGCTAAGGCAGCTGCTGCTGCTGTTGGTGGCTCTCGGGTAGACAGCGGCGACGGCGCCGCGCCCCTCTCGCTGCTGCCGCTGACTGAGCTGACACTGGTGGTGTTTGGCCGGGCTGTGGCGACGACGCCGCGCTTGGCTTTCAGGCGACGGGGCTCGCACACGCAGCACAGTGACTCCGCGCTCTCGGTGCTCGAGCAGGCAGCGAAGGCTTCGCGCACCTCTGGCTGCTGCTGGTTCTCGGGCTGGGCTGGCAGCGCGGCGGCTCCGCGGTCTTCGTTCTCGAATAGGCAGCGAACGCTTCGCGCACCTCTTGCTGCTGCTGGGACTGGGCTGTGCGCGTGGGCACGGGTGTGTGGCCGCCCTTCTGCTGCTTCTTGATTGTGACTCACGAGTCGTAAGCCTTAAGTCGGGCGGCGCTTCTGCCTGAGAGCCTTGCCTGAGAGCCAATGGTGGATGTACCGATATGACTACAGCACTGTAGCGCTGTAACGTGGATAGGCGGTGGATAGGCTGTTTTGATGCGGGCCTCTTTTAGATTTTGATGTGGGCCTGATCTTGATTTGATTGTGTACTTTTCTCTCCAGTTTTCCAGGCGGCCTCGGCCTGGACGAGGCGTACCGGTATCATAAACTTCTGCTGTCGGGCTTGGAGGTCTAAGTATTTTTCAGCCACTTGCTATTTCAGCAGACTGTAGTACACGTGGAAACACAGCCGCTCACAACATGTACTTGCAGGCATGTGTACGTGTACTTGCAGCACTCGCAACAGCTAAGTGGTGGTAAGTCTCCGTGTGAAGTTGTACGCACTGTAATTCTGAGAATTTCGACGCTCGCTGCGCGAATCTCGACACGGGAACTTCCCCGGGAAGGAATGCCTTGCCTATCTTGTTGTGCCGGGCAGTCAAAGTGGTAGCGAACGTCGCGTTACTTTCGGGGGAAGTCTAAAGTACCCAGACGCCATGTCAAGCACATGTACAGCTTCACAAACCTCCATTTTGCGCTTGAAGCAAGCAAACCTCGCTGCCCTAGACCTCCACACCGAGAGATTTGGGGGCTTGAACGTGTTCATTGCAGTGAAGCACGAGGTCGGGAAAGCGTGAGAAACACAACCTACGGTAAAATCTACAACATGTTTTTGTACATGCACTGTAGCGCTCGGCTGCTATTATGCGAGTAAGTAAGAATGTAAAAAATAGTAAGAATGTAAAAAATATTGGAAATTATACAGAATTCTGCCCGAATAAGGAACGGGTGTACAACTAATAGCCTCACATATTTAATATTATTTTCCAGTCGATGCTGCGATAGGGGATGTGCAAGGTACTGCAAGGTACTGAGGTACTAAGGTGAAAAACCCAGTGCCAATCATCAGCTCTCCACCCTCGTTTGAAAAATGGCGCGCATTTAGCGATCTTACTAGACTTCAAACTACATGCACCGTAGTGTTAGACTCGCACTTTTGCTTTTGCACCTCGCCCCACAAGCCCACCTCCTCCCCCACTCCACCCATTTGACAGCGCTGTTGTGGTGCGAGGATGCCTGGTCAAAGGTTAGTGATTCGACCATACGCCACTGTTGGAATCATTCCGGACTCGTAGGTAAAGCTGCTCTTCAGTTCATTTTGAAATAACTAAATCAGTACATTGGAAAAGTATACTCAACTTAACATCAATTTATATATTCTGCGTCTTTATATATATCAGGCGTTCCTTACTCGGGCAGATTACTGTACTCGATTTTCCATCATTTCGCTCTTACTCGTACTTCGTGAACACGACAACGATGGTCGATAGGTGTTCTTCGTGTTGATACTTTAATACTGTAGCGACGCTAGTTGTCCGCATCGCGCGACTCGACCGGGAACCTTCGTCGCAGCCACTGCGCGAGGTACCGGAGCACGTCTTCCTTCTCCGGGTCTTCATACACGAGGTGGAAGAGGCCGTCGAACAGCTTGAACTCCTTGTCCAAGTTGCCCATCGAGGCGAAAAACCTGATAGCCGCCTGTTGGTCGGCGATGCCGTCGGCCGAGCCGGCGAGGAAGAGCATGGGCACGGCACAGAAGGCGCTGTCCGGGCTCGACACGCGCACGTCCTCCTGAAGCCGAATCATGGCCTGCAAGGACTCGTGGCCCGTGCGGGGCGTCAGCATGTCCATGGATGTCAGCGGGTCCGCCCGGAAGTCCTCGAGGAAGGCCGGGTCTCGACACAGCAGCTCGTGCTGCACTGCGGGGACGAGCTTGGCCTTAGGGAACAGGAGCGCGAGCGGGGCGGCGAGCTTCGATTCCACCCACAGCAGCGGCGTCCAGGTCACGCCGATGGTCGGTGACGCCCACACGGCCGCGTGGAATTTGTGTCGACCGGTGAGGACAGTGTGGAGCCCCACGAGGGATCCGAACGAAGTGCCTGCAATGATGAGAGGGAGTTCCGGGGCGACAAAGCGGTCTTTGAGCCGACCGTGCGGGTGGTGAGGGTGGTGGTGCTCTCGCCAGTAGCGGAGCACGTCCGGGTAGACACACTTCTTGGCGAACGTGACGAACGCGTTAGTGTCGTCGACGAGGAAGCGGAAGTTGTCGATGTGCGCGCGCGTGTTGTGCGCGTCGCAGTCGCTGGCCCCGTGGTTCAGCATGTCGTACGACAGGACGCCGAAGCCCTCCTCGCACAGGCGCTCGTACAGCGGGATGTAGCGTCGGCAGTGGTCTCCGAGGCCGTGCAGACAAAGGACCACGCCTCTCATGGGCATCTCCTCCGGCGGGAACAACGCGAGATAGTACAGCGACTGCCCCCGCCGGTTCTGGAATCTACCCTCGTAGGGCCGGAGGTAGGGCGGAATGTGCTGCAGCCTCGAGCACCCGAGCGACGAAGAAGTTGACGCCGACTTGGACGACTCCGACTTGGACGAGGCCTTGGACGATGTCAGATCCGCAGGCGTCGCCGCTGCCAGCGCCATGGCCACAACCGACGCGGGCCTCGGGCCTAACTGGAGCTTCTCCATCGTCGGGCGCCTCACCGGCGGCCGCTTGTGCTTGTGCATTGTCGGCCGCCGCACGGTCTCCGTCGGCCGCGTGTTGAGCGTGTCGCTCCGCCGAACTGGTTGGCCTCTGCAGTTCACCATGTTTTCGAGAATGGCTCTGCGTCAACTCGAGCCACTTGAGTCGCTGCTGCGGGCCCAGCCGGTGCGTTCGGAATCTGCTCGTGATGGCGGCGGGCACTCCGCGTGAAAAGGGAAGGGAGCTGGCGGTCGCCAGAGCAGCCATTGTATGTACGCGAGATCAGGCGCAACGATGGGGGGATGCCAGTCAGCTCGAGCTCGCGGAGTCGCGGTGGCGCGTGCGATTTAACCGGCGCCGGACCTTCGCCGCGCTCGGTTGTTTGAAGATTGATGGCCTGGAATCACGGCGTAGGTTGCTTGCGCGCTCCAGTTATTGAAGGCTCGGGAACACGGCACTGTATGATGTACATGTACTGTACAGCGCTGTATCGCCGGTATTATAGCGACGACTTCAACATGGTCCTATCCTACCTCACCGAAATCGACAGCTGATACCATATCGGTGGTATTTCTTAGGTCTTAGGATCCACTGAAACCCTCATGGCCAATCGCATTTGAGATTTTCATATTTGTAGGATTGTGTAGATGGACCCTTGAATCGGGGTGAAGGCTTGAGGGGCTAGGACGGAGCCGGTTGCAAGTGGGTGGAGCTCACCTCGCCATGGCTGAGTCAACTGGCCGAGGATACGGATAGCCATCAAGGTGCTGTCAGCGCAGTCGCCGCCTCCGCCCGATCTCGCGGGAGGCTCTGAGTCGTTTCGATGCGGAGGATCCCGCTGGTCCTGCACCGACCGCGATTTGAATGGGCCACCATCGCCTCTACATTCATGTGCAAGGCTGTGCCTGCCGATTTGGCCCGAACCGGGCAGTTTGCAGACGTTGCTATGGGTACAAGTACTAGTATATGCGCAGCTCGCTTCCAAGGCGTTGCAGTCCAAAGCTTACGTATGTATGCGGAGCTTCCGCAAGCCCTTTACTTAGAGGATACTGTGGAATGGCATTTATTCCGTTTGCGCGGTCGGTTCATCGCCTTCCTTCATCCGTTCATAGCAACCAAGGTACATACAGTAACTTACCCTGTTCACACCGCGAACCAAGGACTTCACCGTTGGGTGTCCGGCAGGGTAAGACGGCCGTCCACATGGCTCGTCACATGCGTTCGTCCATCACGGACAGGTTATCGGCATTGAGCGAGAGGTAATTGTAATCGATCCGTTTGCAAGAGTATTCGATTCATTTCATAGTTCTGCAGCTACTGCTATCCCGGTAGCAGAAGATGTTACCAAGTATTGTAGGTAGGCAGTGTTGCCAACGTCACTGACGCAGCCACCGCAGCACGTAGGCCACCACTTCGTCTCGCTCCGGGTCTTCAAAGACGCAGTGGAAGATGCCATCGAAGACCGCAAAGTTCTTGTCAACGTTGGCCAGCCGGCTGAAGAATTGCCGAGTCACCCCCTGATCGGCGATGTGGTCTTCGGATCCCGTGAGGAAGAGCATCCGCAGCTTGCAGAAGTTGCTGCCCGGCTGCTCGATCCTCTTGTCTTTCATGAGTCTGTTCATGGCGCTCATGGTCTGCTGCATGGTCCTGGCCGTGATGTCCTCGGTGGTCGCGAGCGCGTCCGCCTTAAAGTCTTCCAAGTAGGCGGGATCACGCCACAGCATCTCGTAGTCCAGCGGCGCCACAAGCCGCACAGTCGGCACAAGCATCGACAGCGCCTGGATGACCGTCGCCTGCAGCTTCCACGCCATCGACATCTCCATGCCGACGGTGGCCCCGCCCCAGAACGCGGCCTGGAACTCGTGGGAACCCGACAGCACCGTATGCATGCCGAGCAGCGCGCCAAAGGACGTACGAGCGGTGGTGACTGTGAGCCAGAGAGCGCTTTAACCTGAGGGAAGATGATTTGCTTGGCGAACGTGACGAAGGCGTTCGTGTCCTCCACGAGGTGACGGAAGCTGCGCACATGTCCGCGCGTCTTGGACGAGTCGCAGTGGCTCGCGCCGTGGTTGACCATGTCGTAGGCGATTACGCCGTAGCCGGCCTCGCACAGGTGTTCATACAGGAAGACGTAGCGCCGGCAGTGGTCGCCCGAGCCGTGCAGGAAGAGCACGACGCCGTGCATCGGCCGGTTCTCCGGCGGAAAGAGCGCGAAGTAGAAGAGCTACTGGTTGCGTGCATTGGCGAAGCGGCCCTCGAGGTGCTGCAGCGCCGGCGGCACCAGCACCACGTACGAGCTGTAGCTGGGCGACGGCGAGTCGGGGGTAACCGTGTTCATGGCCTGCTGCTCGACAGGACGATTGCAAAGTGATAGCCAGCAGCAGCGGAGCCGTGGAGTCCACCGGGGACATGAAGCGCAGCAAAAGCTCCGACCTCGATGGTGTAGCCGGAGAGCACGGTCTACTGTAGTACACTGTAGACCGTCTACAGTACATCAAGGGCGTCGTCGTGTTGCGCTTGGGAAGGAGCGGTCTCTGCTGCTGGAGAGGAGGCGATAAGTCTCGGATAAGGCGCGGCTTCTTGTCGGTCGCTTCCTCATGCTCTTGGAGTCCCGCCATGCAGTGGCGAGTGCTTGGCATGGCTGCAGCATGCAGCAAGGGTGAGCATGTACATTTCCTCCGGCACTGCAGCTGTTTGGGGGGTCTTGAGCAACGTGTTTGAGTGAGTAACAACCAGCGTAGCATTTGGCGCATAAGGTTGAAGTTACCTGTATGGCGATCTTCTAGCGGAGACTTTGGGGGCAGCAACGTCGTGTTCACAGCTCGCTGAACAAGAACACGACCGCCGCCGTCATGTTCATGTTCCCGCGGTTGAAGTGCGTGGACCGCCCGCCGGCGGGAGTGTGCCTGCGTGCATTTATTCCGACACCGTGGACGTCGGAAGCTCACGCCGCACAGAGGACACAGGACGGCGCGAAAGCTTTGAACGCTTATTATACGGCGCGCGCTGCCGTCCTCCGCGCCTGACTAAACTGGCTACGACGCGACATCCATCGCTCGTGCAGAGAGCCCGCGATGGTGTGGGGGCGAGCGATTTGCCTGCATTCAGCGCCTCGTTGACTCCATTCGTTGAGTCCTGGCGAAAGACGGCGGAGAGAAGAACACGCCGCGCGACTTGAACTGAACCGCTCGATTCTCGCCGCGTCTAGCGTGGCACCATCATCACCACTTCCCCAGTTGCGCGCTGCGAGCTGCAGTGTGCGTAGCTGCCTCTAGTCGATAGCAGCGCAACCCGCACCATGTCGCGCGCTGCGTGGGCTTCGCCGTCGTCGTCCTCGGGCTCCGTGAGCAGCAGCTCCTTCGGCGTGCACGTGCCGCCGGGCCTGCGCCACTTCGAGGGCAAGTTCCAGAACCTGCGCGGCCAGGGTCTCTTCTACTTCTCGCTCTACCCTCCGGCCAAGCGCGCGCTGCGCGGCGTGGTGCTGTATCTGCACGGCGCGGGTGACCACTGCCGGCGCTACATCCCGCTGTACGAGCGCCTGTGCGAAGAGGGTTTCGGCGTTATCACGTACGACTTAGTGAATCACGGCGCCAGCGAGTGCGACGGCCACAAGACGCGCGGACACGTGCGCAGCTTCCGCCAGCTCGTGGAAGACACGGACGTGTACGTGGCCTTCGCCAAGAACGCCATCTTCCCCCAGACCGGCCTCGCGGCGCCACCGCTGATCATCTCGGGCACGTCCTTCGGCTCTCTCGTGGGGCTGCACGTGGTGCTCTCTGGGCGGCATAAGTTCCAGGCTGCGTTCTGGGCCGGACCCACCGTGGGCATGGAGATGTCGACGCTGTGGAAGGTGCAGGCCGCCTTCATCCAGCCGCTCGCGTTGCTGCTGCCGCGCGTGCGACTTGTGCCGGGCGTGGACTACGAGCTGCTGTGGCGAGATCCTGGCACGCTCGAGGACTTCAAGGCCGACGCGTTGGCCACCAAGAGCGACATCACCGCGCGCACCATGCAGCAGACGCTCAGCGCCATGCACCGTCTCACCAAGGACAAGACCATCCAGCAGGCCGGCAGCGGCTTCTGCGCGCTGAAGGTGCTGTTCCTCGTGGGCTCAGAGGACCACATCGCCGACCAGGGCGTGACCCGCAAGTTCTTCGACAAACTCGCCAACGAGGACAAGGAGTTCAAGGTCTTTGACGGCGTCTTCCACAGCGTCTTCGAGGACCCGGAGCGAGACGAGGTCTTCGCCTACCTCTGCCGGTGGCTGCAGCGCCGCTTCCCCGAGCTCCACGCCAAAGCCCGTGATGCATGTATGCATTCTCCTCAATCCAAGCACAACTGCCCGAGTATATAGGTGATAGGACTCATTGATTCATCCGGGAGCATCCTACATTATAATATCACATTTAAACGTGACGTGCACTAGTGTTTACCACAGGGAAGCTGTGAAGGGCTGGCACCGTTGCTCCATACTCGTACCATCACCAAGTCAACCTGTTTTCAGGTCCGAGACTGCAGCAACTTGTTGAACGCGAGAAGGTGAGGAGACTGCTGCTGCAAAGTGGGCGGTCGAAACGTCGATCAAGCGTGACAGCCCGGAAGAAAAGCTCAGGAAGTACAGACCGCGGGGGAAGACTGAAGTGACTCACTTGACTGTCTAGCGGTCCTTACTCACTGTGAAGTGAGTATGTAGCCATCATTCGAGTGTACCATTTACCCGGTACGAAAGTATCTTCCGCAATTGCGCACTCACTTCAACATGCGCCGCGGCCGCCGCGAGCTGGACGAGCTCACCGCGGCGCTGGCGGACGTGCAGGCGCGCCAGCAGAGCCTGGCGCGAGGCGACGTGCTGTCTCGCCCCTCCCCACTCCCCGCAGCAGCCCATGACCTCGCCGCCCCGGCGTCCGGCTCGCCGCCAGCCGCCAAGGACATGCCGCGTCCGCCCGCGTTCCAGTGGCTCAAGCGCCGCGTCGTGCGCCGCAGCGAGCGCAAGGACAGCGCCCTGGAGGACTTGGGCAGCCTCGAGCTCGTCGCGTCGGCGTCGCTGGTCACGGTGCGCGCGCTCATTGGCCAGTTCATCGCGCTGCCGCCTCGCCGCGAGTTCCAGTTCGTGCACCCGACGACCAACGCGCCGGTGGACGGCGCGCAGGAGAAGGATGTCCGAGCCGCCGACCTGGCCTTTATCTGCATCGTGCTGTTGCCGCCGAGAGAGGTTGCAGTGACTGGAGACGCCCCCACTGGTTTGGATGTGGAGCAGCAGCACCGGCGGCAACGCCCAGACACGGCGCACCCCCAGCAGCCACAGCCGCCGCAGCAGACGAAGCTTCCATCATGGATTTCGGACACACGTGTGGCTGCACGACCAAGAACTGCTGCTAGTACGGTTGTGGCTGCTGCTGTTGCTCCGTCGAAGCGCGTTTTGCCAGATAAGGTGAGCACTACCCGAGAGCAACAAACTGCGGTCATTCGTGCGAAAGAAGTGAAGAAGAGCTACGCTATCAGCTTAGCTGATGGCAAGAAGGAAGAGGGGCATCTGCGCGTTTCACATAAAGCAGTTGAAGCGAAGACGGTGGGTGGAGGAGTGACGCCTTATCTCGATGCCAAGCGAGCCGGCAGTGCCGGACTGCGGGTGGAACGGAAGACGAAGCGGTACCATGATAAAAGCACAGATGAGAGTACTATTGTGGTGGTACCACGAGGGCGGAGGGTAGCCGCTCGACTTCCGAGTGGAGAAAGTACTCGCCCTGCATCTCCGAGCGAGTCACAATCCACCTTGGCTGCCACTGAAGATGCAGCAGTTGCACCTGCTGACGTCAAAGTGATGAAAGAAGAAGCTCTTGCTCTGGCGAGTTTAGCACAAGACAGCCAGGAAGAGGCACGTGGAGATGTTCCCCAGACAGCCTCTAGTTTTGATGCTGCTGCTAAGCTCGACCCTGTGTTGGAAACGTCAACCTCTTCGGAAAGGCTGATCAGTCAGACACCAGGGCATTTACGTCGGTCTAGGCGTTTCAAGACGCTTACTGCTGCAAAGCTTGCCGAGCAAAGTTGGAGTAGCGAGGAGTCGGAGCAGCAAGAAGTGGCCAGCGACGAGCAAGTCGAAGAGCTTGTTCTATCGTTCCTGGAGATTTTTCGTTCGGGCATGGGAGAAATTGGAGCTCAGCAACTTGATGCAGCGCTTCTGTACTATGGAATTGACTATCGCGAGCTTGAATTAAACGGATTGCTGTTGGCGCTGGATTCGGAGCTCAGTAGCCGATGCAATCACGTGCAAGGTGGCGTGGACGGACAACTCATGCAAGTTTTGCTGAAGATATTCCCTGTTGAGAAAGGAAATGGGATAGATCCCGAGTCCCTTCAACGCTTTGAATACGCGCTTAACCTGTTCGCTGGCATGAGAGGGTGGAAGTCGCCGTCAAAACTGCGGGCTTGCTGCTTTGAAGAGAAGCAACCTCTGCAGTTGATACCAGTTACCGACAGTAGGAGATTGAATTTGCTTCGTCTATCGGACAAAGATCGTCAGCTGTTTGGGATGGCGAGCTCGAGTAATTCTACGGTGGGGCTCGAGAGATGGCTAGCTGATGGTCTGGAGGTGACTTATATACTGTTGTACGGGTTTCTACAATCACGGAGAAATGCAGGGCCGAAGTCCCTGGCAAAGCTGGAAAATCTCCACACGCGCCAAGACCGCATTCAAGCGGCAACCCAGAAGCTCTCCTCTTTCAGTTTTGACGTATGGAAGAGATTAGAATTTCGCACAACAGACGTTGAAGATGTCTCCATGGTGAAGCGCCTGAACGAGCTGGTAAAAGGGTTTCTGCGCGATGCTAAGCAATACAGTCGAGAGATCGATGGGACCGTGTTCTTTCCTGCAATTGTCGATTATTTGGCCAGAAAGTCAGAGCAACTCGCACAAAGTTTGTCGGGGCTGCTCACATCAACTCATGGTAGTCGGGAGTCACTACACAGCACCGTGAAGGCGTACCTAGGTTCGTTACGCGGGCAACTGGAGCAGCATAAACTCCATTCAGCCGGTCCAGACGTCTACTTGTCAAACATCGGTTTGAAAATCGTTGACGTGGATAAGATTAATGCGTCCCGAAGCAGTACAGGCCTGGGAAGAATTTACATGGATGGGAAAGAGTCCATATTGACTCATCACCAGTGCAAGCTCATGATGAGATATGGGGGCTTGCGGGTACGAGGTCGGTGGGAAGAGCCGGAATTAATCAAAGGAGACATATCCAGGTACGCACACTGCTCTCTGCTTTAAGCATCATGCGCTTCAGTAACATTTTCCTTCAGGTATTTTTTCATTGGACCGAAAGAAGTTGCTCTGGAGTACACTTACTTACGAACAAAATCTGCAGCTAGTGGCGGCGATGAAATGCACTGGGAAGACTGTGAAACATTTGCGAAGAAAGAAGCACAGCATGCTTTTACCTTCTTCTGCAATAGCCCTCCGGTGGTACCTACGAATGTCGCGATCGGAATTGGGATCAATGTTATCCATTCTGATCTTCTTCCCCACCTTTGCTCGGTGTTGTCACTCAGCGCGGTGTTGCGGGAATATTCTGATGCAACATCGGTCTCGTTTGGATACTGCTTTGAACCGGCCATCCAGGCGACCCGAGTTGCTTTCCGAGTACACACAGAGTTTTCCGCTGGTAAACAAAGTTTCGATAGCGGAGCAGGCGTGTGGTGGGAACTTCCAAGCGCCACCAGAAGAGTGAACCGGTTTCTTGAGTCAGCGCAAGAAGAAGAGGTGGTTGCATTCTGTAATGCTGGAGGCTTAAGGTTCCTGCATTCGCTTTTGGAAGGACAAGAACTACCGTGGCACTTGGTGAAGTTCGGACAACCGTTTATTGACTACATCCGAGGGAAATGTGGACAAGACCCTGAGTATCTTCGCGAAGATGTCCTGCGGGCGATACAAGCCACTATCCCGGTGCTTCCTCACGCACCACAATGTATCACGAAGGAGAACATCCAGATTATTGTACATTTGCTAGAGGTACTACCCGACGCATTAGATATCGCAGACGATGCCGTTAACGCGCTGCAAGCAATATGCTCAAATGTCCAACAGCCCAAGTTTAACGGGGTACAAGGCTCATTTTCAGCTGTCATGATGACAGAAGCCCAGGTGAGTTTGGCGAGGGCTGACTATGTGTTTAAACTATTTTTCGCATCTTGCGAAGTACTAATCTGTACTCGTCTTATGTGCGTAGAAAGCGTTCACTACGCATTGCGGTCTGGAGATCCTAGCGAATGCTACCAAAAAAATGCAACATCTTCCTGCACGCAAGGAGTCAGTTGAGGTTGCAATTGTCGCTCTTCTGATGGCATATGAGCTTAGTGCAACAAAAAGTGGCCTACTCACCCATTGGCGCGATTATCTCGAGTTTTATGTCGGGAAGAAGGCCTGGGAGAGACATCCATCGAGCCCAACATTTTCGGCATTCCTTCTCCAGCAAATTCACGCCCATTTTTTCACGGGGAGATCGTTCAAAGAACCAGAGACGGAATCGTGTCCTTGTGGATGCAATACGCGTGTGGAGAGCAACACGGATGCATGTGTTGGTGTGATGACAATTTTTGGGAAGCTGATCATCACCGATGCAGGTGTAACGTGGGCTCAAGAAGAGATGCGGGGACCACGGGATTGCGTGTTGTTTTTGTTATGGAGTGTACAACAAGGTCACTGGATCCCCGCAATGGTCGAGCTGCATGACCTGTTCTTTCAAAACTTGTGGGAATTTCTTGAGCGCATGACAAGCCCGCACCAGTACCTACGGCTACTATCGGAGCTAACATCCCCACTTCTCGAGCTCTTGCAGCAGAAGGCTCACCCTTCGTTGCATACTGGAACACTACGCGTTCTGAGTTTCGCGTTTCGGCTGGCGGTGGACAAGAAAGTGTGGCTTATCTCGATGGAAACGTTTCTCGCATCATTTTATCAGATTTTGGCATGTCTCTGTGAGGATCCTTCGCTCTCACGCATGAATTTGATCATGGTTGATGTGCTGTTTCATTCGGAGTATCACCAGCCCGACCCCAGCAATATTTTGCTACTACTGCATGAAGAGCACGTGAACTTTGTTGGTGGATCAGGGCAGTTGTCTCCTGTGGCGCGCTCACGTACAAAGTCCTTGGTACAAACACTGGTTTCATTCTGTTCGTTGACTTGGAACTCGGTTCTTCAGCCGGTTTGTCAAATACCAGCTTTAATCACTCTTGGGTGGATGCTGACGAATCTCGAAGTTGCCAGTGATTTAGAAAAGTTGGAGGTGGATGAGGTCCTGCTTACTCTTATTGAGAGTGAGAGTACCGCAGTGTCAATAATGGCTTCTCGAGCATACGTGATGTTCCTTTTCCAAGGATTACTGTCGAGAAGAGCATTGGACGAGTACCGAGTGAAGCGGCTTTTCAATCTGCTTACTACCACTTTAGCTTCAGGATCTCGTCTAATGCTTTCTCCGAAACGATCAGGTGTTAATCGGGAGACTCCGGAGACGATTCAGTTCGCTGCAAATACGCAGGATTCTTACTCAATTCTTTACCGTTACATAGAAGTCAATAAAATGCGCATACGAGAGAAAGAAGTGGACCAGGAGGATGCACCGGTAGAGGGACGTTCACTGGATGCTGCTATCTGGGAGTCTAGTGAATGGAACGATCCCAACCGCGCTATCGCCGAGAAGCTTGCAACCCACCTGAAAATTCTTGTTGTCTACTCGTCCATGACAGCCAACGTGGTTTCAATCGGAGATAGCGACGAGTTACGGGAGATTATTCTTTTACTTGTGGTACGTATTTAACGATAAGCTTTGCAATCATCATCTTTACGAAAGGAAGCTAGCTAACTAACTAACTGATGCGCACCATTCAGCGGTTTGTCCGAGAACGCATGCACAGTACCTCTTACCATACTACGTTGCACTTGCTTTCGCTGCGGAATATCATATGGGCAACCCGTTTAGATGTTGCGAGATGGGGTATATCGGAATTGATTGAGGCTTCATTCCTTCGAAAGCTACTGCTTCTGGCCAAGGACAAACTACACCAGGTACGATATTAGATTGCGTTGTCGCTAGCTTTACTCCCACTCATAAGACCTCTTGTCTGCACGTAGGAATTGGCGTCAGGCGTTTTATGGGGCCTTGCGGATGCCTACGAGAACTCTAACGTGTTCATACTCTCGTTTGAGGTTGACGATGCTATGGCTACAGGCAGCTATTTTACGAAAAAGATCGGACTCGCGGTGATGGTCGACATTATGGCATCAAAATTGGCGAGTGGCCGATCCGTCGAAAATGATTCGGGCGCTCTGGCCTCCATGATTGCCAACCCAACAAGCGGTCCATTTTTCCTTACGAATTATGGGTATTCATTTACCCTAAAGCTGATTGAATCAATGCTGCGGTTGGTTCGAGCTGGCCACATGATCGACCCAAGAGATGAACACTCAGCCCAGATGGGAGGTGAAGTGTTTGGAACGTCACTGTTTTACGTACATCCAATCATTTATCGAGGAGAGAGAGAGCTCTTTCAATTATGTCGCGCTGCAGTTTACACGCTTGAGGCA